TAGAATTTTCTCGAGCTCCGACTGGTGACCTGCGTGGTGTTGTCCTGAGCCATCGTACAATCATGCACCAGATGGCTTGTGTCAGCGCTATCGTATCCACCATCCCTACCAGTGACCCTGATTCTGGATTCAGAGCTCCTCCAGGGACAAAAGCTGAGACCATCTTGTCTTATCTCGATCCTAGAGAAGGTGTCGGCTTGATCCTTGGTGTACTGTTCGGTGTCTACGGTGGTCATACGACCGTCTGGCTCGAAGCCAAGACTGTTGACACACCTGGAATGTATGCGCATTTGATCACCAAGTACAGGACCACTATCATGGTTGCCGATTATCCAGGCTTGAAACGAACTGCGTATAATTATCAGCAGGATCCAATGGCCACGAGGAATTTCAAAAAGAATGCCGAGCCGAACTTCTCAACAGTCAAGATTTGTCTAATTGACACGATCACCGTGGATAGCGAGTTTCATGAAATTCTGGCAGACCGATGGTTCAGACCCATGCGTAATCCTCGTGCCAGGGAATTGGTCGCTCCAATGCTTTGTTTGCCCGAACATGGAGGTATGATCGTATCTGTCAGAGATTGGCTTGGCGGTGAAGAAAGGATGGGATGTCCTTTGAGTATCGACGACGCAGATCACGACCTCAAGGATGACGGAACTGCAAACCAAGGAAACTCAAACAACTATTCCAGCCTGCTAGGTAGTGTCGGAGGTACCACGGCAAAGAAAGGACAGAGAAATAGCCGGAATGAGTTGAGTGAGGTATTGCTTGACAAAGAGGCACTGAAAACAAACGAAATAGTTGTACTCGCCATGGGTGAAGATGCCAGGAAAAGGGCCAACGAACCTGGAACCGTAAGGGCAGGTGCCTTCGGATATCCCATCCCGGACGCAACTCTTGCTCTGGTCGACCCTGAGACCGGACTGCTTTGTTCACCTTTCACAATTGGAGAAATCTGGGTAGACTCCCCATCACTCTCTGGAGGCTTCTGGGCTCTACCAAGGCACACTGAGAGTATCTTCCATGCCAGGCCTTACCGGTTTGTCGAAGGCAGTCCTACGCCAGTTCTGGTTGAGCCCGAGTTCTTGCGTACCGGCCTTCTTGGATGTATTATCGAAGGCAAGGTATATGTGCTTGGCCTATACGAGGATCGCATAAGACAACGAGTAGAGTGGGTCGAGAATGGTGTCCAAGAGCACGAGCACCGATACTTCTTCGTCCAGCACCTGGTTACGAGCGTCATGAAGACTGTACCGAAAATCTTCGATTGTTCTGCATTCGATGCACATGTCAACGGCGAATACTTACCATTCGTGCTTTTGGAGTCCCAGGCTGCCTCCACAGCTCCTACCACCGCAGGTGGACCACCAAGACAACTAGACATTCCTTTCCTGGATTCGCTCACAGAGCGTGTCATGGAAGTGCTTTACCAGGAACACCACCTACGAGTTTACTGTGTGATGTTGACGGCTCCAAATACTCTGCCACGTGTCGTCAAGAACGGTAGAAGAGACATTGGAAACATGTTGTGCCGAAAGGACTTCGACAATGGAGCTCTGCAATGTGTGTACGTCAAGTTTGGTGTCGAGAGAGCTGTTCAAAACCTACCATTGGGCGATGATCCTGCTGGTGGCATCTGGTCGCCCTTGGCCTCGCAAGCAAGACAAGACCTTTTGATGTTGCAAGACAAACAATATTCTGGTGTAGATCACCGAGAGGTGGTGATTGATGACAGAACATCGACTCCCTTGAACCAGTTCTCCAACATTCATGATTTGATGCAGTGGCGCGTTTCGCGACAGGCTGAAGAACTAGCTTACTGTACAATTGACGGTCGTGGCCGCGAAGGTAAAGGTGTCAACTGGAAGAAGTTCGATCTCAAGGTTGCTGGTGTGGCTACCTACTTGAAGAACAAGGTCAAGGTCCAGCCTGGTGATCATTTACTGCTCATGTACACCCACTCGGAGGACTTCGTCTATGCCGTACACGCTTGTTTCTGTTTGGGTGTAGTGGCTGTACCGATGGCCCCCATTGACTCTAACAGACTCCATGAAGATGCGCCAGCGTTGCTTCACGTCATCGCTGATTTCCGTATCAAGGCCCTTATTGTCAATGCAGATGTTGACTCACTCATGAGACAGAAAGCTGTTTCGCAGCACCTCAAGCAGTCGGCATTGATACTCAAGGTTAACCTTCCCAACATCTACAATACCTCGAAGCCGCCGAAGCAATCCCATGGATGCCGCGATCTCGGATTCACCATGCGACCAGCATGGGTAGCTCAAGGGTTCCCTGCCCTTATATGGACTTACTGGACACCAGATCAGCGTAGGATTGCCGTTCAGCTGGGTCACGACACCATCATGGCATTATGCAAGGTGCAAAAGGAGACTTGTCAGATGACGTCCACTCGCCCAGTCTTGGGCTGTGTGAGATCTACTATGGGCATTGGGTTCTTGCATACCTGCTTGATGGGCATCTTCTTGGCCGCTCCTACATACTTGGTATCGCCTGTCGACTTTGCTGCGAACCCAAGCATTTTGATCCAGATACTGTCACGCTACAAGATCAAGGATACCTACGCGACATCACAAATGCTTGACCATGCCATGGCTCATAATGCCGGAAAATCGGCCTCTCTCCTTGAGCTGAAGAACCTTATGATTGCGACAGATCAAAGACCACGCGCTGACGTCTACTCCAAAGTGCGTGTGGCATTTTCGCAGTCGGCACTTGATAGAACTGCTATCAATACCATATACAGCCATGTGCTGAACCCCATGGTTGCGAGTCGTAGCTACATGTGTATAGAACCCATCGAGCTCTACCTTGATACCAACGCACTTCGCCGGGGGTTGGTGGCTCCTGTCGACCCTGACACAGAGCCATTTGCTCTACTGGTCCAGGATTCGGGCATGGTGCCTGTCAGTACACAGATCAGTATCGTCAACCCAGAGACCAACCGGCTGTGTTTGGCAGGCGAGTACGGCGAGATCTGGGTTCAAAGTGAAGCCTCTGCATACTCCTTCTACGGCTCCAAAGACGCATTCGATGCTGAACGCTTTAACGGCCGTACAGTCGATGGTGATCCTGGTGTAAGGTACATGCGAACTGGAGACCTCGGTTTCTTGCATAGCGTTAGCAGGCCTATCGGCCCCGGTGGCAATGTGGTCGAAATGCAGGTTCTTTTCGTTCTCGGTGGAATTGGCGAGACGTTCGAAGTCAATGGTCTTCAACACTTCCCTATGGATGTTGAAACCAGCGTAGAGAGGTGCCACCGCGCTCTAGTCTCTGGTGGATGGTAAGTTGTTCGATGATTTCTCGCAAAACATGACTGACTCCCAACNAGTGCAGTCTTCCAAGCCGGTTCGCTTCTGGTCCTGATTGCCGAGTCTCGGACTCGTGCCTTCCTNGCATCGATAGTGCCGATGATAGTGAATACGGTACTCAATGAACATCAGCTTGTTCTTGATATTGTCGCTTTTGTGCAGAAGGGCGACTTCCCACGATCCCGACTTGGCGAGAAGCAACGAGGCAAGATTCTGGCTAGCTGGGTCTCGCGCAAGATGCGCACAATAGCTCAGTTCAGCATTCGCGACCCTGATGCCGAGGGAAGTGTAGGCACAGCGGTGCCAAACGAAGTTGCAGCTGGCAGACGCAGCAGCGTACAATCGGGCATTGCAGGCGCTGGCGCCTTCAGAGGAGGACCCGGTAGTATTAACCGCGCTCCGGGCACGGCAGGCAGCTCTTTGCGTCATGTGGAAAGCATTTCACAGTTGCCGTTGGCTGAAGAGCCGCATGCGTACGACACATCCATGCCCCAACAACTCTATACGGATGAGTTGCCGCGACCATCGGCAGAGTTCCTACACAACAATGACCACACGCCTACCAACGAGCGGCCACACGACCTTACTTTGAACACGACACTTGACTATTCTCCAGTGGAAGGCAATATGATTTACGGCTTCTCAGACGAGCAGGACTTTGCAGGCGTGGTGCCCGAGCAGCATCAACCACCACCTCGATCGAACTACAGAGGCGTTTATGGCGGAGCGCCTGATTCGCCCGAGGACATGCCGATGCAGCAGTCGGGCGGATTGAGGGTTGCCAACCGTACCAGTATTGATAGCGACGATGACTGGTCACAGGATGCATTGAAGCATTTGAACCTGAACGCAAGATAGACGACTGGATAGATTAGCATCTTGTTGCTTTGTCTGTTGGTTCTTCTTTCGACTTCACATTGTGGTTTGGGGATATACAGCCCGGGTTCGAACGGCTTGGGTCAAGATATTTCATGGGGAAGCAGCATCGTGTCAGCATGCCTTGTATCAGGAAAGAAAAACACGAACGGGACGCATGATGCATGATGCAAGTCTAGTGTGTATAACGTAACATATAGATATTACTCTTATCGATTGCATTGCTCAACATGATCAAGCTTTGCAGTTTAAAATGGCTCTCTTCCAGCTTACTTGGTAGGTGCTCGATCACTGCTTCACGTTCGTGGCAGGTCTCTTGCTCGCTCCTCACTTGCTCTTTCCTCAATAATATCACCGCGGAACAAGAAGTCTAGAAGGCAGTGCGGACAAAGAGGCAGGAACATCACAGAGGGAGGGTACGAAACATGGATTGCAGAGGTTCTTGATAAAAATGCAACTTTTACTTGATGTTCTGTAGACAGCCAAATGAACAACCTGGGATATTTTTGAAGACAAGTCAAAAGAAAGAAAATGGGACATCACACGTATAAAAGGGGCCCCGCCGTCGAAGACCAAAGTGTCCGGCGCCTATTGGACACTTCCGTTTTCGGCCTTTGCTTCTAGGTTTGCGACGACGTGGCTCTTGGAATCTGGACCGCTTGAAGGCGCGTCGTCCGGCTTCAACGAGTCGAACTTGGGTGCACTGAAAAGAACCGGCGTGCCGGGTCTGCTTGACAGGAANNCTGAAGGAGACGAATCAGACTGGCGAAAGGACCAAGCCGAAGTGCGACTTTATTGACTCACCGAGGAAGCGGCAGACAAGAGGGCAATGAGGGAAGCTTGGACGACATCCTGGTGAATACCGACACCCCAGACCTTGTGCGAGCCGGTCGAGCACTCGATATATGTGGCAGCCTTGACGTCGCTACCACGACCGATGGCGTGCTCCTTGTAGTCATCCACGTCGAGGTGGATGTTGAGGGTCTTGAGAGCGTTGGCAAGAGACGAGAGGGCACCGTTTCCAACACCCTGGATGCGGTGCTCCTTGCCGTCGACCTCGATGACACCACTGAAACGACGCTTGAGGTTCTTGTTGGAGGCGGTCTTGCCATCGGTAGGCGGTGCGGGGGAGACTGAGCGGTCGGTGGTGATATCGTAATCGATGAGATGGAAACGCGGGTTCTTCTCGAGATGGTAAGCCTTGACGAACAGGTTCTTGATCTCGGTCGGCTGCAACTCGCGACCCAGGGCATCCGTCTCCTTTTGTACAATCTTGCTAAAGGCGACTTGGAGGCCACGCGGCATGTCGAGCTCGAGGGTGCGCTGGATGATCCAGGCGACACCACCCTTGCCCGACTGGCTGTTGACACGAATGATGGCCTCGTAAGTGCGGCCGATATCTTGAGGGTCGAGGGGAAGGTAGGGGATTTGCCAGCGTTCTTCGTCGTTGTTGCCGTTTTGCTTGCGCAAGTGGAAGCCCTTCTTGATAGCATCCTGGTGACTGCCCGAGAAAGCGCAGACGACAAGCTGGCCGCCATAAGGGGCTCTGGGGTGGACAGGGATCTTGTTGCTCTTCTCGACGATATCAATGACCGAGTTGATGTCGCTGAAGTCGATGTTGGGTGGGACTCCCTGTGTGTAAAGATTCAAGGCCAGAGTGACGAGGTCGACGTTTCCGGTCCTCTCGCCGTTGCCGAAAAGAGTGCCCTCGACACGGTCGGCGCCTGCCATTTGAGCAAGCTCGGCGGCGGCGACGGCGCAGCCTCTGTCGTTGTGAGGGTGGAGAGAGACGCAGATCTTCTCGCGCTCGGAAATGTTGCGGCAGAAGTATTCGATCTGGTCGGCGTAGACGTTGGGGGTGGACATCTCGACGGTGGCGGGCAAGTTGAAGATGATGGGCTTCTCCTCGGTCGGCTCCCAAGCAGCCTTGACGGCCTCGCAGACGTCGAGGACAAAGTCAGGGTTCGAGTCGGAGAAGGTCTCGGGCGAGAATTCGTAGGACCACTCGGTGTCCTTCTGCTCAGGGTCGTCCTTGGTGATGCTGCGGGCGTATTTTGTGCACTCGACGGCGAGAGCCTTGGACTGTTGGTTGTCCATGTTGAAGACGATGCGCTGGAAGCAGGGGCTGGTGGCCAGGTACAGATGGAGGATGGCCTNTTTGGCACCCTTGAGCGAGTCGACGGTGCGGCGGATGAGCTCCTTGCGGCATGGCGAGAGGACCTGGAGGGCGACGTCGTCGGGCACGACACCGGGGGTGGTGACGAGACGGCGAGTGAATTCAAAGTCGGTGTCGGAGGCCGAGGGGAACGAGACCTCGATCTCCTTGTAGCCAAGCTTGACGAGCATCTGGAAGTAGCGCCATTTCTGCTCGCCGTCCATGGGGTCGACCAAGCTCTGGTTGCCGTCGCGGAGATCGGTCGAGAGCCATCGCGGAGCCTTGTCGATGGTCTTGGAGGGCCACTGGCGGTTGGGCAGGTCAAGAGGCTGGAATTTGGGGTACTTCTTCCATGGTTCTTTGAGCCTGTGTATGTGGTCAATCTCGACGTGCCATGTGCAAGTTTGGGCCGTGCTCGTCGTACATGGGCATGATGGGCGGAGTTGGATGTGCGCGACAGGAAAACAGATGTGTGCCAAGGGAGAAAGCTGGCGCCGTGTCGTGTGTATGTATAGGTATACTTCTGACTGCAACATGACCACAGGTGCGCTGTGACAGCATCACGCCGACATCGTGTGAAAAAATGTCCCTGCGCGGGGTGTGACGCCGCCGATAACCGCTGCTCCCCCCCCCCCCCCCCACCAAAACACACGCCCTACCATCAACTCCTCGACCAATACCACGCCCTAACCCTGCCTTGCGGTCCCTCCAACCACGCCTTAACCCTGCCTTGCAGTCACTCCGTCCACGCCCTAAACTCTGACTCACCATCCATCCTTACAGTTTGCTTACTACCTCCCTTTCCTTTAGTCGGACCACGCCCTGGAAGCACTTGTCAGCCTTTTGCATATCCTGATTGTCATGTTTGTTGGTCATTACCTCTTGCACACATGTTGCAACCAGCTCGCCGTCCTTTGTGAACATTCTNNGTGCCTCGTTAGCTTTTGCTTGCTTCTTCGTCCCCCTTTTCCCAATCCCTTACCTCTGCAATACCAATCCTCTGCCGTCGCCCGCCCATGGACTCTCCATCTCGGTAAACATCCACTCGTCTGCACGGAAGTTGCGCGGCGAGTGGAAGTAGATGGTATGGTCCAGACTGACNNCTGCTCGGTCCATCAGTCTCTTGCCCTCTGAAGAAGCACATGAGTTCCAACTTACCATCATGCCCACTTCTGGTCGTCTCTGTTCCACGCTGTTGATGTCCTTCATGTTTCTCAACGCGACAATGACATCTTCGTCCATTCCCTGCATTCTCCGCAGCGTGTCATCGTCCATGTCACGAAGCTTCTCAAGCACAGAGTTGTCGATGGTCGACTTGCCGTCCTTGTCCGATGTCGAGAATCTCCACAGCCGGTGCACCCGTGACACTGTGCCTATAAAATAGCTGTCGCTCATGTACGCGAGTGCCGACAGATGTGCCTGGTGTCCTCCACTGGGACTGATCTTGCCCCTAGCCTTGATCCACTGTCTCGTCTTTTTGTCTTGCGGCCGACCTGATTCGTGGTTGAGGATATGGATGCGTTGGCTTTGGAAAGGACTGTTGTCCTGTTGTGGAATATCCAAGTCTTCCGAAGGCCCAGGGACCGTCGGCATGTCGACTGCATGTTCGACCCGCTCGGCACCTCCGCTGTTTTCTCGAACAAACGACATGGTTGTTGTAAAGATGGGGCGTCCTCGCTGTCGTGCTTGTACGGTGCGTGTAGCAAAGCTTCGGCCATCTCGGACCTTCTCGACGTGATACATGATCGGAATCTCTGCGTTCCCGGCTAGCACAAAGTAGCAGTGCATGCTGTGGACGGTGAAGTCATCGCGGACCGTTCGTTGCGCTGCCGCAAGACACTGAGCAATCACGGCACCNNTGTCGCTTGTGAGAAGATGGACGCTTCATCCAGCACATCGAGACTGCATACCTCCGTATATTCCTCGAGCGCCAGGAGGATGCCATAGTGGTCGTGTATTGGTGAAAATACCAGGATCGATGTCGGTTAATTGCTTGAGCTCGAGCACGCTCTCGATTGCAGATTTGCTAGGATCAGCCGGCGGAGGCTTGATCAGTGTCGACATGACGGCTGGTTCGTTAGGTAGGAATGAATTGATTGTCGTCGATGGTATCCCCCAATCTTCTTAGATAATTCAGCTTACAGACATGCCTCGGCTGTTTCGAGGCCTCGGCCCCGGATCGGTATCATCAGCTAACGACTACATCTCATGTGAATTGGTGGTCTATGCCATCTGTGCTGCATGTCCTTCAAACAAAAGTCACACGTCAAGCACACTGGCAAATCGGTAAAGAAAGATTGAAGAAACGACATGTCTGTCCGACTTGCAGGGATCGGCTTACATTGGCCCCATTTGGCGAGCGCGTCAGGGTCGCGGTTGCTTTGAAGCCTTGAACTTCACCTTCACTCAGCTTCGTCTGCTCGTTTGCCTCTCTGCCTCAACTGTTCGTCTGGTGTCTCGCATGCATTCAGATGACCTTCCAGGCTGCAATCATGCAGGGTAAACGCGACATGCAGCTGGTCTGCCTCATTCAAAGAACTGGATATGCATTGGGCTTTGTTAGCACGGCGTATAGCTATGCTTCACACAGCCTGTTTGAGACTAAGGCCTTGGGAATACAATACAGGCTGCCTAGCAGATAGGCAAAGCCTCTATGGCAAGTTAGACGCTGGTGATCTTGTGATGGGCGCGCTTTCCCGTGTCAATCTAAGCAAAAGAATATGGCAAGTCTTTGTGTGTGTGTGTGTGTGTGTGTGTGTCGTAGAATCATGCGCGGTTGGCAAGACAGACAAACAGCAGGTGGCTGTTGCCTGGCGACTCACTCAATAGTGAGACGACCAACGCGCTTCACTTCGATGCCAGTATCCTGCCTCTTTCCTCCTCCTTCTCCTCCTCCTCCTCCACCACGCCACTTCCACTTCTTTCCCAATCCTACCACAACTTAACTCAACTCTCAACCACTCGATTCAACATGTCTGACATCGGCAACGTCGTTCGCGGCCACAAGGCCAACCTCAGCAACCCCAACACCGTGTGCTATCTGTTCCATGCTCAAACATAAGAAACATGCTAACGGTACCTTTACCTTAAGTCTGAGGAATCCAAGCAGCACTCTCTCGAAGTCATTGAGAAGGAGCTCGGCACTGAGACCAACTCCGGCGCCGGCGCTACTGCTCACAACGATGACGGCAAGGATCCCATGAGAGTGTACGCTTCCTGACATACCACCACCTTGCTCTGTGCTAATGTGCTCCAGNNCGCTGCCGGCCTCAAGGCCGCCCTCCACAACCCCAATGTCTCTGATGAGGCCAAGGAGAATGTCTCGCACCATCTCGCCGACATTACCTCCTCTTCTCACGCCGATGATGGCAAGGATCCTACCAGAGTGTAAGTCTTGCAGCAGCTGATAAGCTACGCGCTTCATACTGACGGACTTCAGCGCCGCTGGCCTCAAGGCTGCTCTTCACAACCCCAACGTCTCTGACGACACCAAGCAGCACCTCAAGGAGCGTCTTGAGGACATGAACTAGATGTCCCGGGCATCTGCGCATGAAGTTGTGATCTTAATAACTCCGCGACAACCAGGACCTCGCGCTGCGGCGGCTAGTTTGCTTTGGCAAGTCCAGAATTACAAGCCGAGTTCCAGAAATCGAGCAGAAATGAAAAGACATCCTCAAATATTGAGCCCCTGTTCAAGCCTTTATCATGACATTTCGTGAATATTTTGTCCAATATCCGGCCAAGCTAGATTGTAAGCACTCTTTGCTCTTTGCATCAGATCCAGTACACTATAGTTCATCGGACTATGTTTGTCACAAGCAGGAAGCTCCATCGCAACCCCCTAATCGTTGTACGAAGTCCTGGAGAATCAAGTATCGATGGCCAGGTCACCCTGTCACATGATAATGCTTGGCGTTCGAGCGGGGGCGGGCAACATGGGCTCTGATTGGCTATAAATTGTGTCGCTCGCAATAGAGGGCTGCCCGCTCGTCATGCTGCGCAACAGCTTCCATATCGCCGACCCGTTGTCGCCTCTTTGAAGAGTCAGTCAACCTCCGCTCTTTAGAACAAAGCAATCTAGGAGTCTGGAAAGATGCTTCGCAATGGCATTATCCATATCGAAAGGACTCAGTCCCTAAATCGAGCGCTCGCGAAAGCACCGCGTGCAGCGAGACGTGTAGGACGACGAGGCTATGCCTCGGAAGAAGAAGGCAAGTCCTTCAAGGGCCAATTGTACGACAGTACTGCCCAAAGGTTACAAAGAGAAAGGGCAGACCAGCTTCGCTTCGCCGAGATGCGCGCTGCGCAGAAAGGCACTGGAGGTTCGCCGGTGTGGATGGTGCCGCTGGGTATCTTCTCCCTTCGCCATGCTTCGCCCAGGACACAACAAGCTCACGTTTCATANGTCTTGCTGACCGGTGCCCTCGGTGGCTATATCGCTGGCCAACAAGCCCCAGCCGACCCTGCTCCAAACTCGACGCTGCCGCTTGCAGCCGCCCATCCTCCCAAACACAACATCGCACCCACCAATCTCGAGGCAGCATGGACCGACTTCCGCGACATTGTTGGACAGGAAAACATCTCGACAGAGGCCTCGGACCTTAGCTCACATGCAGGCTCTGAATGGAGTTCGTATCCCGCCCACCCGGGCGACCAGCCCTTCTGCGTGGTGAGGCCTGCTTCTACCGAACAAGTGAGTGAGATCATGAAAATCTGCCACCGTCGCCGTATCCCAGTCACACCATACTCCGGAGGAACTAGCCTGGAAGGCCACTTTGCGTCCACAAGAGGTGGTGTGTGCATCGACTTTAGTCGCATGGATAAGATCTTGAAGCTGAACAAGGATGATCTGGACATAATCGTTCAACCCGCTGTCGGCTGGGAGAGCTTGAACGAGGACCTGGCCGACCACAACCTCTTCTTTCCTCCAGACCCAGGCCCGGGCGCTATGATTGGCGGCATGGTGGGCACTGGCTGCAGTGGCACGAATGCTTATCGCTACGGAACCATGAAGGATTGGGTTCTGAGTCTTACTGTCGTGCTCGCAGACGGAACCATTGTCAAGACCAAGCAACGTCCCAGAAAGTCTTCTGCCGGCTACGACCTCACGCGTATTTTCATCGGGAGTGAAGGCACTCTTGGGCTGGTCACCGAAGCCACGCTGAAAGTTACCGTCAAGCCGCAAAACACGAGTGTTGCCGTATGCACATTTGCTTCGGTCAGGNNGGAGGCAGCCAATGCTGTGTTCAAGGTTGTAGGTGAGGGCGTGCCCATCGCGGCCATTGAACTGCTGGATGACGTTCAAATGCGATGCATCAACGACGCCGGGCAGACCTCACGCTCGTGGAAGGAAGCCCCTACTCTATTCTTCAAGTTCAGCGGGACCGCCACCAGTGTCAAGGAGCACATTGCAATCGTTCAGAAGCTTGCCAAGTCTTCGGGCAGCAAGACTTTCGAGTTTGCTAAGAATCAGGATGAGGCACTCGAGCTGTGGAGCGCTAGGAAAGAAGCCCTTTGGAGCGTCATGGCCAAGAAGCAGAATGATGGCGACCATGTCTGGACTACGGACGTAGCAGTGCCCATCTCTCGCTTGCCTGATATTGTCGAAGAAACCAAGGAAGCCATCTCGAAGAGCGGCCTGACAGGAGCTATTGTCGGTCATGTCGGTGACGGCAACTTTCATGGTGAGGCGTCTCCTCGAACAAACAAATAACACGCTCGGTCCGTTACTGACTCGTGCNNAGCCATCATCCTTTACAACGACAAGGAACACAGTCTCGCAGAAGACCTTGTTCACCGCATGGTAAAACGCGCCATCGAGATGGAAGGTACAGCTACTGGCGAGCACGGCGTTGGCATGGTCAAGCGGGATTATCTCGAGCACGAGGTCGGCCGCAGCACTGTCGATTTGATGAGAAAGGTAAGTCTCGAACATGTAATGGATGGCGCGTTCAGGCAGACCACAACCCCAGGTCGCCGCTCCGCTATTCTCGTCTCGTAACATGACTGACGTGCTCGACCACAGATGAAGCTTGCCCTCGACCCTCTATGTCTGCTCAACTGTGACAAGGTCGTTCGCGTACAACAGCCAAAGCCTGGTGAGGTGCAAGAGTGGTAGAGTTGGTACGAGATAGTCCCAGTGGTTGCCATCTAGTGCCTCAACAGCAAAAGCAACTAGAGTCAAGATGCCTGAACATGTCACCATATGTGGTCATAACCCACGATTTCACAACCCCATCGGGACTCCAAAATTTGGAGGCGGTATGCATTGATTGTTTGGGGACGAGGACGGACCATCATTGCAAAGAAATCTTCCCCCGTTGGAACCTGTAACAGTTCTTCCGCGATTCAATTGCGAGCGTTCTCCGTCCCGCGGGACCGGTCCGAGTCTTACATGATTGGGCGTGTACACTCAGACTTCACATGTTGGACTTGGCAAAGGTCCTTTAACACGTTGTGTGCTTCTCGACTTCGGCTCTGGTGGACTGTATCTATCGATCTAGCGTCCGACAGTGCCGATTTCGGCTCCTACAAGGACATGTGGTTGCTGAATAAGGAAGCGCATCATTGCGTGCTCTAGCAATCGAAGAGAATTCATCTCGTAGCAGCAGAGTCTTAGTGTGCAAAGTATCCATGTAGGATAGGGACGTCAGGGGTTTGTGACGGGCCACAACGACCTCAATCCTCGGAGAGGCTCGGAAACCGTCATGGTTTATGTTATATGTATCACCGAAGAAGACAAGACGAATATTGCTTCTGCAGTATTTCCAGTACAAGCTTGAATGGACTTGGCAGCTAAGCAAACCTTGATAGAATGATCCTCCGTGTTTCATCCCGTCAGCAGCCGCTTCCTGCCGCCCGTCTTCCTTCTCCAGAGTTAAGATGTCACGCTGCATGGAACTTTTCAGCTTTTAGACTCGGACAATGGGCCGAGGGAAGGTTTGAGATGCAGAAAACCTTGTTTCGAGTCAAGCTGGCACGACTCATACGAACTCTTTTCCATGTGCTCTCTGCTCTAGGTTCTGTANNGAGCGTTGCTTGGTTCTGATCGAATCCGATCCCTCGTGGGACCCGATACCCAACTCTAGATGATGGATGCGCCGCTTGGCTGGGCACCGGTCGTGCTTGCAAGGGCCCCTCCCAGAATNNCCAGAAAGCCACCGATACGCTGGATCAAGGAGTAGGTATCTAACTGCCAAGCCACATTGGACGAAAGAGCCCGGTCGCGCCGGTGCCCAGACTCACGGCTTGTTGTGCGATGACCACTGGCCAGCGCCGGAAGAGCCTCGTTACGTGATGGTCTGATCAAATTCACACGATACCTAGCCAGACGCACAAATCCAACCCACAAGCTATCGAAGAACACTTTGCTACTCATATAAGCGTTGAAGTCATGATTAAGAGCAGAGACTAACTTCCGGCTCTCGGTACAGCGGCGGTATGCAGATCCCTTTCTTGTACGAGCACCCGGGTGGGCTGTCTCATTTCTTTCGTCCGCCCAAATTGACCATCGTCATTGCTAGCCACAAGCTAGCTATCTCGAGACATCCTGAACGGGGTAAAAAGTACAGAACAAAGTTCACCAAACAAGCCATTAGCGCGTCAGACAATGCTCCATGTTCCAGCTTCAAAGCTACACTCGATAGAAGAACTCTATCACACAATCTCGGGATTAAAGGTAAACGTTTAACACCAAGATCCTACGGCCTGGGCGTCGGTGCCACGTTTCGAGGCTTCCAACCTAAACAGCTAATAGCTTACCCTGAGAGTTAAGAAGCGACAGGCCCGTGGTCCGGAGGGAACAGCGAAGGAGGAATGGAGAAGAGGGCTGCACTTTTCGGGCCCTCATCTCGCGACGGCATGGCGTAAACGTACAAGCGGACGGGGCAGTCGACGCAATCCGGCAGGCTGAGATGACGCTGCAAAGCCACTCTGCTCATTCTCGCAGCCTGTCGAGTCGCAGCTGAAATGGCTTCCTGACAATTCGGTCGAAACTTCAGGTACGAGGCAGCAAAGCAGTAGATGCCACACGTGGCAGTTGCCTCGGACCAAGCCTAATCAGGAGCCGGGCCTGAAGATGAGAAACCGTAACATGCAACGCGCCGGCGTGGCGTTCAAGCGGTGATCTGCCGTGGTGAATGTCCTCGCACCAAAGTCGCTCCTCGCTCTACAATTGGCGGGTGTGACCCTTGGCCTAGTCTGCCACCAGTCTGTGCAGCATACATCTCACGCGTGCGCGCGCCAGAGACCTGTCCATTATTCCCGCCAGGTCCAACAGTCGCCCAGAAAATCTCTTCCTCCCTTCCACGCAGGGTTCGGAAGCCGCTAACGAGCAGACTAAAAGTTCTTTCGTCATGTGCGGTGCGGCTGCGGTGTGTGCATCTCTGACCAGATCTCGAGCTATCCAGCCATGGTTCAGTGAGTCCGAGTCCGTGTCCAATGTTTCTAAAAGGCCCATTGCTCGCTGCCTGCAGAGATTCAAGAACACAACATTATTAGGGCTAGACTACTCCTCCTCACATCTGCTCGCCTGCCCCTCCCCCATTACCTTTTATCTATTATATTCGTTCCATACTGCCTCGTCCATCTGCTCTGTTCAAGCTGCCTCCGATCTTCACCTTGTCGTGCATCACCCAACTCGACTCAAGTCGAACGACGTCCCTGCCCCTAGCCCTTCCCCGTTGGCCCACTGACCACCGGGATTCCCCTTGGCGATCTTCGCTGGCCATATCAGGTGTTCGGCAGTTGATATATTCTATCTCTTCTTGACTCGCTCCAGCTCCTTCAACAACACATTGTTATACTTAGGGCTGGCCTTGTTCGAACATCTACAAGATCGATCTCAACATGAATCAGGATGCATCATCAGGATCCCGCCAAAGCCCGAGTGGTACTATGCACAGTTCAGACTCGGGTAGCCAGTCGAAGCCCCCTTCGAAACGCGCTTCCAGAGCCGGGACGCGTAGTGTCTCTACCCTTTCGGCCGCGCAATTGGAGAGGAAACGTGCAAATGACAGAGAAGCACAGAGAGCCATTCGTCAAAGAACAAAGGATCACATCGAGAACCTCGAGCGACGAATCAGCGAACTGACTGGCACTCAAGAAGCCAGAGAAAAGCTGTACCTGGCCACACAGCAACGTAACCGAGAGCTCGAGGAAGAAAACGCCTATCTTCGAAGCAGGCTCTCGGGCGAAACATTCACTATCAACGTCAACGAAAATGATGGTAAGCGCACTTCAACACTATTTGACCTGGCTTGTACTGATGAAAAAGCTGCAGACAAAGCACCGCCGCAGTACAGTGTCTCTGCGCCCGAGTCTTCGCCTCAGGCTCACCTGAGTGCCGGCGTGAACATTCCCAGACCTTCGTCTTCAGCTACGAGCAGGAGTATTCCCCAGCCAGCCGAAGCTTGGAGGCAACACAACCAGTACAGCCCTGGTAGCGCGCCAGCTTCAGCATCCTTCATGCCCGAAGGAGCCCAGCACACTGCTGGTCAGAGTGCTGCATCTTGGAGGGCCCAGGACGTTCCTTCGGCCTCTTCGTATGCCTACCAGGTCCGCCAAAGTGACCGAACAACAAACTACCCTTCGCCAGCACATCAAATGACCTACCCGGGCCACTCGCAAGCGGCTCAGTTCCAGCAAGCCATTACTGCTCAAGCACCCGCGCAATCCTCTGTCCCACCTGCCTTCCACAACACTGGAATTGGCGCTCATCCTGATTTCCAAGGCATGCCTCAATACGCCGCTTCTGCAACTCCTACCTACCACAATCAGCAGAGCCACGCCAATTTTGTCTCCGGCGCACCGCCCGTGTCATCGGCTACCTCTGATTTCCATGGTGCACCTCGCAGCCTNAGCCCCTCCCGCTTACAATCCGAATGGCGCGTCGGCTCACTTTATGCCTGGACAACCTCCGAACGCACAGCCCATGGCATACCGCGAAGGCGCTCCTCANNGCATGCGTACGGTTATGACGCCTGATGAATCACTCTAAACTAGGATCTATGCGCATCGTACGCACAAAACTTTGGTGTAATTGTTGCTCAAAACGCGACACTCGACTTCCGCCCATGAATGTGAGCAGAGGTCCGATCTCAAGACTGTAGATCTTCTCAGCGCACATATTGCGAACATTGAGACCACGACACTCTTCCCACTAATCCAACTTGATCGGATATCACACCTCGTTTGAGACGGGTTGAACATGTGGCTCGATCATCAACATGGTCTAGCATCTGTCGCAAGATATATGTGATTCAGATTGCATGATGCGATCGGTAACGACTGTGTATGATGAAGGAAGTCAACGAGTAACTACATAGTGTTGCTGGACTGAGAAGTGTGGATAATTGGTACGGGATCATGAACATACATAGACGAGTTTTCCCGGAACATGATCTTTTGGACAGAATCAAGAATCAATAATCAAATGAATTGAACACACCGTCACGATCCACTTCCGACTCATCCCCGATACAAGCAGGGTCTCACGTCCACCAGATTCTCAGTATGAGTTGCTGCCCGCGAGAGGGACTAGACTAGAGGCTAGACAAAGCAAGCACCAACATCGGCGATCCGACTTGACTTCGAAAGAACAAGGTACTGAGTAAGTCTTCAGGCCGACAAAACCTGCTGTATCCCGGCCCACGAACCGAGGATATTGTTGTTTTGATAGCCCATCTAGCTACTCATGCACTGTGCGTGCGTGAGTTTTAGGCACACAAGGCCCCCATGACTTGGCGCAAAGATCGCTACGCGACGCCGGTTGCCGCAAAACAAGAAGCGTGTGCTGATGATGGTTCGAAGAATGGTTCGAACCGCGGACGAACTCATGGGGATATGATCTTGACACTTCAGATATGCAGGTTTCGAATCCCTTCAACCGTCCGAGCTGTCTTTTGAAAAGACACAAATGACAGACAACATGATCTTGTGAGAATAGGATTTGACATAAGGAACTCGGAGCAATATCCGATGGTCCGAGAGAGCATGTGCAGTGTAGCAACGAACATTGAACGACTTGAAGATGGGACCTGGCCTACTGCCAAACATGTTCGTCCTCAGGTCCCCTGAATCCTCTCTGCTCACAATCGAGAATCAACCCTGTCCCTTTACAGCGAACACAGAACACAGATTGCAATATGCGTGGACCAACAATCGGTCTTCGACTGGAGTACATGATGTTTCAAGTGCTCGGCGAAAAACATCCTTGACTAGTCAGAGTGCCATCTCTTCTACGGTGAACGGATCTCGAGTGCTCCGAAGGTCCTTTGGGATAAAGATGCGACCAGAACTTTGTGCGAGGCAGTCAATCTCGATGGACAATGCTGCTATATTGAAACCATGCCAATCTTTCCAGCTAGACAGATTACAGATCCAGTGTGTTGTATTGGGAGGAAGTGCACCATCCTCGGGTTAACTTCTGGGTGTGAGACCTGGAACAACGAGTCTACCCAAACAAGCACGTCCTTGCCAGGAGTCACAACATCCACCGGCATCCTTCGGTTGGTAATAGCGAAACAGTGATATGCGCCTCTGATATTGCCAGGTACAATGTTCAGACCGCCATATTTGCTTGGAAGGGGAACGTAGACTACGCCACAAACACAATCCGAAGCAGCTTAAAAGATCTAGAACCAGAATGGAAAGTGCAATGCTTGGGGTGTGTCGAAGGAGCATCTGGCCTTCTCGCCGAAGTGAAGCCAAATATCAATCATGGGCCTTCGCTTATACGCGGCATAAGCATCCTCCGAGGCAAATACCGGATACTTCGTCGATTATTTCCAGTAGGGTTCTCTTGTGTATAACGATGATACTACTGCTCCGGACGTAGGCAGATCGGCAACGCGGCTTTCAACCCCGGGTAGCTTGTTCGTGCATGCATGCATGTATGCTTGCTGCAAACAGGGACAAAGATCCCGACACCAGAGATAGTCCAGTATTGTGGCCCGGGAATACTGCTGACCTCGATAAATGACACGGCTGGCGAGCTTTCGCAGATATTGCGCTTGATGTTAGACCAAGTCATCCTATCAAAGAGAACGATGGGGATTGACCAAGGGCCAGATGCACGCCTAGTACAAGGGACATCCCACAGTTGGATGCTTAGGTTACGTGGATGGCGACTCGTGAGAGTACAAGCGGAATGTCAGGCTGTTGTCGTCAAGAAGGCAGGCGGCGAACAGTCCCTTAATCCATCGAGAACAGCACGAAGCCACAAAGAGCGGACAATTTGATAGCGCACACGGCGACCAAGATGGAGACAAGCAGTAGACTCATGGTGTGTCTTCCGGTCTGCGAATCGTACGGCAGAGCTGTGATATTGTGTTTGTGAGAATGGATTTGCGGTGGATGATGGCAAGTGCGGGGAAATCTAAGTATCAGGAGTGGTTGAAGAGCTATAGACCAGAACGAGCCGCCTCACGTGGTCTTGTGAAACTCAAAGTACGCGGGAGGGTCCAGGTAGAGTTTCGTGCAATCGGCTGAGGCCGTTGGCCTGTATTGATTCGCTATACAAGATGGTCTTTGCTCTCATAGAATGGATTGGCCAGTGCCATCGGTCCTGAGCTGCCCATGTTGCTCCTTCCTGTTCCATATTGCCGTCAAGGATACGGATTGGCCACGAGCTCAATTCTTCTATAGTCAATGGGCTGGTCAGGTAAAAACAATTGCCTTGAGGGAGGTTGCTAATTCTTGAGAAGGCATCAGACCAGTGACAGCCAAGAATTGGTAAGAGCAGCAGCGTAGAGACAAAGCTCGGTGAGCTCAGGTCTCAGGCGAACTTGTCGTGTTTACCCTTGACTTTGACGTCGAGCAAAGCTTCATGATATGTGCCATCTCTCCAGGCCTTCTTCAAGAGCTTGACATCGTTGTCTTCAAGCTTGCGACCAACGGCTTGCTCGAGTTGAGCTCTGCTTATCTTCTCATTGGCCTTCTCCTCCTTGGCAGCCTTGTGGACAGGCTTGAAGCGTGCTTGCATGCGCAGCCTGATGGCACATGTTGGGCTGGAGTCGTCGTCGGCGTCGGCTCTGACCTCCACCGTCTTGTCGTTGATAGCAGAGAAGAGCTTGTCACGTGTTGTGCGTATATTGAAGAGGAGAGAGTCGGACGGCAGCAACGTGAATTGCTCTTCGGATGAAATAGCGTCGCGTGTGGCTGAGAGAATGCCAAACTTGTCGCTGTTGAGATNACCTGTAGCGGGCGTGTGAGTGACGGGCCCTTGGGCCAGGCTGGGCAGGAGCCATTCGACTTACTTGCCATGGTGTCCCTTGAAGCTGAACGTGTCGGTGCCTGCGATGCGGTTTGCTATGAAGACTTGCCTGACGTCGTGTGGCTCGGCCGTCGAGGGCGCCTCCTCGACTATGTTCTCCAGCGCACTGGCAAACACTTTGCCATTGGCATCGCAAGCTAGACAGGTCGGCGGCTTGGTCGGCAGCACGAATATAACAGGGCCCGAGACGTCGCTCACTGCATCTGCAGACACCCACGATTCGTCGTCGTCCTGCTGCTGCTGCGATGCGCCAGCCTTCATATCCTTCGCCGCAGGGCCGTCGCCGTCTGCATCTTCATCTCGAGCGCGCTTGCGCTTCTTGACCTTCTTGTCGCCCTTGAAACTGAGTGGTTTGACCATGTTCAGATTGTCGCTCGGACGTGGGCGATGGCCGCTGGAGCTCGGCTGATATTGCGGCGCTCCCGCCCGAAGAAAAATCACCCACCACCTTGATACAATCTAATCTCTCGTCTCTGCTACTTTCTTGTTGCTTCTTCTCACCATAACCTCGGCCTGTCTCTTCCAGCGTTCCAGCATGGCTGTCAACTTGACCGAATCTGGTGTGCAAACCGCATCACCCGTGACCGTGAGCCTTCGCGACCTGCATTCAGGTAACACAGTAAACAAGATGCTTCGCAAAAATGACCATCTCATCATTGTGCANGGTTCCGTGCCATTCGAGGCCCTCGAAGATGCTTTCGGTCCCGATTCCTTGGGCATTATTGTCGTTCGTGACCTGCCATCTGAGTTCGTCTCCATGAGAAAGGCCCTGCTGTCGTATTCTTCGTATCTGGCCAATTTACCTCAGGCTGAGNNCTTGGTATGTCATTCTTGCTTCTTCTTCGTTGTGTTCGGAAACTCATATCACCAAGAAAAACTTGAAGATCCTCAAAGCAGCTATCTCGTAGGCTGGAGTTGCGGCAAGGAGACGCTCAAGGACGGCAGGTACGACACGCTCAAGGGATCCTACTATGCCAACCCCGTACAGAACCCAGACTTGCACCAAAAGGCTGTCGAGAAGTTCCCCAATCTTCCAGAGTACACCGCGGCAAACATCTGGCCAAGCAACGATGTTCTTCCTGGCTTCGAGCACGCCTTCCAGTCTTTGTGCGCCTTTATTGTTGACACTGCTGCACTGGTTGCCCGGGCCTGTGACCGTTATGCAGTCAAGAATGTGCCTCAATACCAAGAAGGCTATCTCGAGCATGTTGTCAAGACGAGCATCTCTACGAAGGCCCGTCTGCTCCACTACTATGCACCAACCACGAACCANAGCCGGGGGGAGAGCTCATCTGACGATTGGTGCGCGACACATTTGGATCACGGCTGTTTGACGGGCCTGACCTCGGCCATGTTCATTGACGAAGCAGCCAACCCTCCTCGTGTTGACTCTGCTGAAGTCTCGCCGTTGCCCGAACTGTTCTCGCCACCGGACCCGGCGGCCGGGCTACATATCCATTCCCGCTCTGGCAAGGTGACCAAAGTCAATATCCCAAAGGACTGCCTTGCTTTCCAGACTGGTGAAGCTCTCGAGGTCATCACCAAGGGTAAATTCAGAGCGGTGCCGCACTTTGTCAGGGGTGCTGCACCCGGCAAAGGCGGCCAGGTTGCAAGAAACACCCTTGCTGTCTTCACTCAACCAAACCTGTGGGAGATGGTCGATGAGAAGCGTGATTTTGCTACATTCGCCAAGGAGATTGTCGAGCGCAACCACTGAAAGGCCTTTTTGAAGATGTCGACTTGGAATGCTGGCACTTGTCTCAATGCTGGACGACAATCACAATCTGCCAAGATCTCTTCTACTTATCAAGCCAAATCAAACCTTCGACCGATCGCCGGGATCTACCAAACTAGGGGAGGAACGATCTTGTTACGGATGTGGCAGTGTATGTACGCGTAGCATAGCCAACAGACAGAGAGAAGATAGACAGCCTCCAAACTTGAGAACTTGCTTTTGCCAGTTGTCTTTCTGAAGTAAGCAGTCAGCACGGTACATGTATGGGCATGCGTGACTAGTCTTCAGATAGTAGTCGTTTCCCATCCCCTATCAGGGTTCACGCCGTTCTTTGCCTGCAGATGTACTGACTTGTCAGACTGGCTGGAAGGTCGAGCTCAGATGCAAGACGGCGGGCACGCGAGCTGGAAGTTTGACAGCACGACTCAGCCTCACCCGCGGACCTCCGACTCTCAACTCAGCTGGCTCAACAATGTGAATAGGGCTCGACGTGCTATTTGTTTGCGTGTGGTAATGGTCGTGCTGCGAATCCTTCAAGCCATTACTTGTGCTCCAGTTCCGTGCCGCGTTCAGCATCAAAGTAGCTAGTGTCACTGACGGATTAAGCAGGTGCTTTCTGAAACATCGTTGGACAAGACGGTGAGTGTACAATAGATTGCCGTTGAGCAGGTTATATTCGAGGCTTGTGTTGGATACACGGATGTACAGTAGATCGTGGAGAACTCCACGAGTCCCCACAGCAAAGCGGTGTGCGTGCGTCAAAAGGCGGAAGCATGACTTGACGAAACGATACAGACTGAACTGGCTTGCATTAGGACGAGCCGTCTGCATAGGAGAAGAGGTTACCACAAGACTCGCTTCGGCCCGATGTCAGAGACGGTCAGAAGTCACAAGATCACGACTCACGTGCTCCATGCGTGCTCAGGGTCCAGAATGTCAAACCGAACATTTGAGGCTCTCATACTCGTGGCACGACGTGCACGCCCCCCCCTAAAGGTTAGTAACACGGACGTGAGACAGGGTGTTGATGAAGCGTGCAGATGCTGAAAAGACCTCCCTAAAGACCAGCTTGACAACACGAAGAGCAAGATGTAAACACAAGCAGTTTGTGAAGTGAGTGAATACTATGCCTGATTGCTCCAACTTTTTGAACCAGCGCCATGTCTATTACAAATAAGCAAAAATCGACACATTCATTGCCTGTCATTCTCGTAACCATGGTAGCAACCTGCCGAGACGGCGATGAAAACCTCCGTCCGCGTGTTTGACACGTTCATAACGCCAGACCGTTCCTCCGAAAACGTACAACCAAAAGTGACAGCATAAACATTTTGAAAAACAGCCCGCAAAAAAACACCAGAAACCCGAGAAAAGAGGAAAGAGCAGGACGGGATCCTCCCTAAAAGGAGGGTCGGTCAGTGCAGGGTATCACAAAGTGAAGCGGAGGTGTCATGAAACAGCAAGACACGATGGCGCCGCCGGACGCCTTTGGTAGATCATGTACCGAAAGAGCAGTGAGAGAGGGACTAGTAGCCCAGACCATCGTCCATGCCCATAGACAGACCGGCTCCAGCGACGTTGACATTCATAGCTTGCATACCGTTCGGCATTTGAGGGACGGCGACGGGATTGAGTTTGAGGTCGGGATTGCATGGCGGCGAGTGTTGGCGGTGGTATTTGAGACCATTCAGGTTTTTGTAGCGCTTGCCGCAAACCTCGCAGCGGTAAGGTTTTTCCTTCTCCATGCCCACTGTGCCGGGGTAAGGGATGGATGTAGCAGGGTCTACGATAGAAAACGTGCCGTCGGGATTCTCCTTGAGCTGCTGGTTTTGATGGCCGTGCTNGGAGGCGGATTAGTGGAGCAACTTGTGGTAAGGACAGGAACAACTCACTTGTTTGTGATACTTGAGACCATTCTGGTTCTTGTATGCCTTCTCGCAGCCGATGACGGGGCAGCGGAAGGGCTTAGCCTCTTCGCCGGGGAAACCAAAGCCTTGGATGAGTTGTTGCTCGCGAAGACGTTTGGCCAGCTCGCTGTTGTTGGCAAACTGACTGGGGTTCTTGAAGCCGCCCATACCGCCCTGCTTGCTGAGCAGACGCTTGGCAGGATCGTCGATGCAGCGCGACTCGTCCTGTTGGCCGTTCATGTCAGGGAACCCGAAGCCAGACATGCTGGTGTTGAAATTGGATGGATCGATCTCGCCAGGGGTGTGCACGGTCGATTCGGATGGGCTGACGGTCTGCGAAGTTTGTCCAAAAGTCGGCGTGTTGACGGATGAGACGGTGGGATTGAAGCCGCCGAGCTGCATGTTCTGACCAGGTTGTGGCGTTGTGGGCGTCGATACGTTGTTGACCTGTTGTGTGTTNNTTTGGAAAGCGCCGGCCATGCCGATGTTGAGTGACGGCGCTCTGGCCTGCTGCCTGCCGAACTGTGGTTGAGGTTGGAACTGATGGCTCTGGTAAGGGTCCTGTACGGCGGGAGCAGTGCTCGAGTCGTCCATGTCCATATCCATGTCATCCATGTCGTGGTCTTGCAGAGGATCGCGAGCTAGACCTTGAGAGAGGCCCGAGGGATGATCGAACTGAGGGGCTTGTTGATGATTGTGGGGCTGGCTTTGTTGCTGCTGCTGCTGCAGCATCTGCGCGGCAGTACCGGCGTTTGCGTTGCGAGCGTTTGCAAGCAGGTGTTCCTTGGGTGTGCGGCCCATGGTCTGTGTAGGGACTTGAGCGTGGGCTTCTTCGTAGTGCTGAAGCAACTCGTGTAGCGAGTCGAGGGTGATGCCGCAGCAGATGTAGTCTTTCATGAAGTTTGCCTCCATCTTGGGGAGATATGATGACGAGTGGAACGATGGCGACTGGAAGTTGTATGGCGAGGTGCCGGCCATGATTAGNNACTAACGGCAGTGTCAGCGAGTTGTCGAGGTTGCACAGCTAGAGCGAACTTACTCGTCACGAATGAAGCTGCCAACAGAGAGGCCTCCCCAGCTCATTCCGGCCATGAGACTGCCGGCGTGGTTAGTGCTGTCGCGGCGGCCACGGTCGCGCATCGAGATGGGGCGTGAGTGGAATGAATTGCCCATGTTAATGGAGCCGTGACGCAAGCTGTCGGGTCTGAATTCGCTGCCGCGACGCTCCATGTTGGCCATGAAAGTCGGCGGCTGAGTGTCGCCGCTGCGTGCATTTGCGGCTTGCAGTTGGCTGGTCAAGTTGGATGTCTGGTTGGGAGGCGACGCGCGCGGCGTGGCAATATCTATGGGCGATGCCGACGAGGCCATGGCGTTCGCAGTGAAGAGAGAATGTTGGCAGGATGGGGGTTTGGGACTTCTCGGGAGGAGATGATGCGCGTCGCGGAAAAAATCTAAAAATTAATAACAACACCAGGTCTCCGGGTTGAATGTAGAGTCCCTTTCAGCGATGGTCGAGACGCAGTCGTTGTGGCGTAGCCAGTATGTGAGACGGTCCCGGATTTGTGAGGGAGTGAGCAACGACAGCAGGCAGTCCAGAGGAAGGGCAGGGTGTAGGCTTCTCTAGTCGTAGGGACGACGAGGCGACGAGGCGAGGATTATGTAACCTCGGCAAACTCTATCGACGTGTCTCTCGGTTCTGTTGTTCTTTTGACTGCTGGCTTGTTTGCAGCTCGAAAGTGCTCAAATTATTATGGCCAGGGCGGCGGCTCGCGGCACGACGAAACCAAAGGGGAACGGCTCGAATTGACAGAGAGACTAGCGGAACTGCCAACACTCTTGTTTTGAGCAGCGGGCTTGGGTTGCGTGCAGGGGATTTGACCGAAAACGAAGCGTCAGGGCGAGAAGCAGTGCTTCAAGTGTATATATATATAACAATGGCGAGTCTCGTCAGGCGGATCGACTCAAGATTACAGAGCAACGAAACAAAAGCAGGGTGCTCGCTGGACGGTTATAGCCACTGACCTGGCATGCCTGCGACAGCGTCACCGTGGCCAAGGCGCCTCGAGGGAAGGAAACTCGAGCGAGCTGCAGCAGTGGGAACTCAATCTTAGCGCCGCTGCGACGACTCTCACTGCTCAGAAACCCGCGAACCTTATGTTGCTGAGCTGAAGACATGCGTGACGTCGAGTCAGACGGCGCCAGACACGACCATCCGATCTTGCCCACCCTGCCACTCTATCGGCCTTGGGGGCACCTCCATCCTCGCTCCTCGCTCCGACTATGTTTCTTCTGTCCATGCCTTCACCTTTCACGCCCATCTGTCCTGGCCCTCGCTTCTCTCCCGAAACCATCAAGCCCCTGCCTCCACCCTAGACAAACGCCTTCTTACGGCCGCACGGTTGCATCTACCTGTCACTTGTCTCGTACCACCGTCCATGTTCCTTTCCCCCCGTCGTTTGCATCCACGGACATTGCAGCCGAAGAACGCACTCAGCATGCTTGCCATTTGCATCTTGAGCAAACGGCTGCTATGCCCTATTTCGCAGTTGCTGACCACGGCCCTTATCCTTCTACACCAACCAAAGATCGCTGGGTCCCGCTGTTGTCCTTTTTGTTGGACCGCCAACTTTCTGCCATGTGCCGCAGAAACGCCTGCCAATCGTATTCCACCGGCCTTACCAAGCACTTGTCTATGCGCCTCTTCCGCATTAACGTCCTTCTAGAAGGAGAGGTGCGCCTTGCCTTGGCATCTTAAGCCTAACCACCTGATTGGTCTCAAGACAACCTCTCACCGACACTGCGGCACCTCTCCACAACATTTGTCTACGAATCTCGGGTCGCCATGTGCTCGAGAAACACCAGACTGTCGGTAAGCATGTCAAACGAGCTCGACATCCATCGTGCAACCGCTTGCTCCGTCTTGCGCCTTGCGATTTACAGATCAACAAAAGCGCAGACTCGCGGAGCATCTGTTCCCTGTTTCCATTTGTCAAGCATAAGTCCGGATAAACAGGGCCATTATTGAGAGAGGACCCTGAACCGTCTATGGGTCCCAAAGAAATTGGACTGCTGCCGATGTGAACGTGCACTCCAGCCGAATTCTCGCATCACCATGGCGTGTCGCGACAAGTCGTCGAGACATTTGGCTTCCGTGCTTTGGATACCATACAGTTCGAGGTTCTTAATGGTACATGAGCCTGCTTGCTGCCAGGGTCTTTCTACAACGTGGACTTCGCACTGCCGCGTGTCTGTCGTCCACTTTTCGGCCTGGACCCTGACAGGTAACGATGGAACTCAAATTGTCGATCTTGACTGGCCGCGAATACGGACGGGTCTCTCACCCAGTCTGAGTAGAGTAGTTGTACAAGCTTGGGACTGACATTGCAGGTCGGTCTTTTGCAGAGCTGATACGTGTGTCTGTAGCTACGCGGTCTCCAGTGCATATTCGAAGTGCATAAGTATGTCCGACGGCCGCACAAAAAGTCACCAAAACCCTCGTAACCGCTTAGCCCGCAAGAGGGTAAGATATTCGCCGAATGATCGATGCCAAGCCCGTCTTGCTTTCTGTAGCTTACCGAACTGGTAGCGTCATCGGTCTTTGTTCGGATTGCGCTTGGTTGTGCCTCTGTTTCCATTACCTGGGACATGCGTTGAGTATGGACTTGTTATTCCCTTATATGTCTAGCTATTGATTTGCCAAAAGCAAAAGTGCATACGCTTCACTTACGCCTTCTGTTGGGGTCTGTGTTGTGTTAAGCACGAACATCTGATCGATATCCATGGATGGAAGACAGATGCCCAAGTTGAGCGACCACGTGACCTTGATCTCCGTGAATCATGATCTACAGGACAGGTGCAGAAGGTGCGGTACATACATGCGTTGCAATGCACACGTTTATATTTGCTGCATACGCGCAAGCTGATCACCGAGTCTACGAAACAGCAGTTGTGACTGGTTGATGTGGAGCCAAAGGCAACAGAGATTGTTCGCAAGACACATGGCCGAAGTCAGCTCAAGCAGAACGCAAAACTTCGATTTTGCCTCGATGTGTTGCTCGTCCACTCCAGATTGTACACAATCCTTGTACACTTGTATGAGACTGGCGCGGATAGTACACCTGAGCCGTCTGCAATGAATAGATATCGTACACGTACCATACGAGAGTACATGTCGACCTCTAGCAATCTGTTTCGGAGCGTGTTCCGATACCTTGTGTCGATACGGTATCCTCGATCAACGGACATTGGTAACAATTGGGACGGTCATCCGAAAGCCTTTCTCCATCTACTGACTCGCCTATCATACTCTGTCCTGGTATCAAGAATCACGGTTTGACCTTCGGGCTAAAGGGTTGAGAAACAAGAACAATGATATGCAGAAAAGACAAGGTCGATCCCCCGTGTATCGACACCACCACTACTAAATCCACAGCTGTTGCGTTAATGTTTGACGATGAGAACCGACGGTCTTGACCTATCATACTGTACAGAAGCAAGCACAGAGTAGCTTAGCTGGCCACAGACAACTTCCGCGACATGGTAAGGTTTGGGCGATATCTCATTACTGACTCGCCTGCCTCAGTAAGGAGTGTGATATTGCGAGCTTTAAATTTGTACCTAGAGGAGCATGAAGTTAAAGCACTTGAAAGCACGGGTTAGATGACTTCATTCGACAACCTTCTTTTCGCCGCCGCGTTCACCTGCATGTACAGTAGATGCTGGAGAGCTGGGGCGCGGAACAGCTCACATCCGTTATGTTTCCATCTTCGCTCCGTCCCTTTTTGCCCTTCGAGTCATCCTAAAAAAAAGCACAATCGCTTCGTGCCCGCCTCCGCAACCGAGTCAGCAGCGGCCTGTCGACCCCTTGTTTCGATTCACAAGATCAATTGCGCAGAGGCTGGGGTGCTTATCTGCATTACATAGTGACACGCTTGCATCAACTCTAAACACACGTCAATTCTGACAAGATAGCCATGCCGAACCAATACTGTGTGTCTGATAGGCAACCCAGGCTTTTGCACAATCGGTATGCCTCTCCTTTCGTCATTGATTGCACCTCTCCTGTTTCTTTTTTTTGGTTTCCAGTACATACATACAGCAGTCGCATCGATTCACCCTTGCGACTGAGTTTACGCTTCACAATGATAGCCCTTGCGGTACATGGATGTGCATTACTTGGCATGGTGCCATGACATCGATGACTCGGCGCAGAATCATCGCCGCATCCTTCTCGATAAGTTGCCGACCAGAGTTGAGAGCACATGTCTTGTGGCTGATTTGAGTTGGCAGTAACATGGCAGGAAGCCGTCAGTAGCCGACTTCATCATTATTGCCGCACCTTCTCGGTCTCTGTGCCTTTTGATCTTGTCGCAAATCGTAGCGATGCCCATGTGATCGCGATGTAGTCTACGGCTCGCCATATTCCATGGGCCGAAGTTTCCGCGCCAAGTAATAAGCATGCGAAGAGATCTCTCTAGAAGGGCTATGCAGTAAGTTCTATATAGATGGTTAAGCTAGGCTTCCACCACGAGCCGTAGTCAGTAGCCAAATGGCCGGACCAAACCTCTCGAGGCGGACATAAGAGCCTCATTGTATCTGATGCCTGATTGGGGCCAGAGGACAGAAGGTACTTTCTGTATGAGGTATTTCAAGAGTGACTGCAGTCAAAACAGACGGATTCTGTGGTAGGTAGAGCCAATCTGTACTTATGCGCGGTACCGATATGCATTACACGAACAGATCAACCAGTCATGTCCACATCATCGTCCTTCCTGCTCTTGCCTTTTCTGGGCTTCAGGTTCTTGTTGGTCACAATCTCCTTCATACCTTCAAGTGCATCGACGTATCTGTCACGCATCTCTCCGCCTTCTTGCTGTTCAGCGGCGAGCTTCAGGTTCATCCTTTCGACCTTCGTGCTTCTGCCTATACCCTTGGCTCTCGCAATCTCGTTCCAGAACCAGCGACCTTCATTCTCGGCGAATAGCGTCCAAGCCTCACCGCTTCGTCCTGCTCTCGCTGTACGACCCACGCGGTGCACATAGGATGCCAGACTACGCGGAATGGTGTAGTTTATGACGTGTGTCAGCAACGGCAAGTCCAGACCGCGAGAGGCACGATCGGTCGAGATTATGATACGCGGAGGAGACGAGGTGTTGAAGTTGAGGTTCGTAGATGCTTTGGTGAGGAGAAGTGTGGCAGTTTTGTAGGATGGTTCGATGTGTGTGACTAGATGGTGTAGACGAGCTGCTGCCTCGGTGCTAGGTGTGAAGATCAGAACCATATTGCTTCCCGTCGCTTTCGAAGCCAAGCCTGTTGGTTGTTTAGGTGCGATTGAGGTTGATAACACCTCACTTTCGCTCTCACTTTCGCTTCCACTGTCGCTGCTGCTGCTATCATCAGAACTTTCGTCGACATCATCATCATCCGAAGGACCACCCGAGGACTCGCTGTCATCATCGGAAGATGAGTCGTCATCAGAAGACAAATCGCTATCAGATGAATCTGTCGACGAACTATCGTCCTCGAGTTTCTTCGTATCGAGGGTCGAGCTTGAGAAAATTTTGGATCTGAGAAGTTCGAGCAGGAAGAGCGGCTTATCAGAACCATCACCTACAGGAATGGCGAATTCTGAGAGAGTGGTGGGCAGTTCAAAGCCGTCTGCACCCTCTGCCGTGGTCGCCTCGTGATTGAGAGTGGCCTCAGCTTCTGTCTTGACTACGACCATGGTAGGCCGTCTTAGTTTGAGAGCACTCAACTTGGATATGTCTCGAGTCATGGTAGCACTTAGAATGACCTTTCTAACATATCTGTCGCGACGTGGCATAAGATGGCGTAGAGCAGCGGTCTCGGAGTTCGGCGTAGAAAGAGGTTTCTGGACATCCAAGGCGGTGGTCACCTTTGCCACCCATTCTTGAAAGCTTTGGTCCAACAGACGATCTGCCTCGTCGACGACTAACCACTCGACGTGGTCCAGAGTAAAGCCAGCAGTAGCAGTCAAGTGTTCGACCAGGCGACCTGGGGTGCAAATGAGGAGGTCAGCGGCCGAGCTGTAAGTGGGGATATAGCCAGTGGGGAGGCGAACGACATCGTCGAGCATAGTAGCCTCAATGTCGGTCAGATCCGAATCAAGTTCAAAACACTGACGTTTCCTGGCCTTGTCCATAAGTGAACGATGGCGTTCAGGGTCGTATGCTCGACCCCTCTTGACCAACAAGTCCTGTTCGGCAGCGACAGATTGGTTGCCGACGGCTAGGGCGATCTGTATGGCAGAACCTTGGGCGCAAGTAGAGGCGACAGTATATGCCTGGGCGACGAGCTCTCTGGTAGGTACTACAATAACGGCGCGCAGTTTCGTGTCGAGCCTTGTGCGCAGATTCTCGACGATGGGAAGCACATATGCCAAAGTCTTGCCGCTACCGGTCGGGGCACTGACACAGACATCGTTCGGCGGGAGATGTGTCAGATAGGGGTGCGGCAGGAGACGAGGAAGCAGAGCAGCTTGAACGGCGAAGGCAGTCGTGTAGCCTCTAGCTTCGAGGTGGGCCAGGGTTTTTTTGGACAAAGAAAGGTCGCTGAAAGGACGAGTGGTGGACTGAGAAACGACGGTTGGGTGGGCGAGCCATTGCGGCAGCGAGGAAAAGGAAGGCACAAAGTCGGGAGTTGGGGCACGAGCAGGTTGGGGCAGCGGTATCAGATNCTAGACATGGCGGTCAGACTGCGAGTCACAAGTGAGCGCGCGAGACGGATGGCGCATACCGTGCAGCTCGGGCTGATCGGCCAAGTCGACATGGTCGCTGGGCGCAGCGGCCCTAGCAGCCTCGGATCGTTGGGCAGCCTTCTGGAACTTGGTATAGACGGCGCTGTGTTTGCTGGGAATGGCGGGGGCATCGTGGTCGTTGTCATGGTCGGCGGCGGGCGGGTTGTCTATCTCTGCACGCTTTCTCTTTTNTCTGCCATTGTCGTCGGATCGAGAGGGGCCCTTTGGCACCTTGATTTGCTTTGGTTTCGAAGAGACGGGGTCGTGCGAGGCGGCGGTGGTGGTGGTGTCAGCTGCGGCCAGCGCAGCAGGCCTGGGCGGCACGTAACGAGCGTACATGTGGAATGTGCTTGGGCGAGAGACTTTGGATTGGATCCATCGACGACAAACGAGAAGCCCTCGCTCACCGCCCGGCTGTCGCGTGCAGCCAAGCCCGAAGTGCCCACCTGAGTCGGCATGCCGATCGGGACGTCTGGGCCTTGCGGCTGCATCGCGCCTGCCGTTGCTCCACAGCAGTGTCCAGGACTGTCGGTCGTCGCTGCCTCGACTGCTCCATTTCTCCTTGATCACTGCTGCTTGCTTCGGCGCATAGCACAACAATGCAACCGTCACCATGCCGTACCATATCGCCATGGTCAGCGATTTCTTCTTTCCCCAGCCTGGAGGCGTCGAGAGCCACATCTACCAGCTGTCGCANAAGCTCATAGACCGCGGCCACAAGGTCATCATCATCACGCATCAGTACGAGGGCCGTACTGGCGTCCGCTACTTGACCAACGGCCTGAAGGTCTACCACGTGCCCTTNTTTGTCGTCTACCGCGAGACCACCTTCCCCACCGTCTTCTCCTTCTTCCCCATCTTCCGCAACATTGTCATTCGTGAGAAGATCCAGATCGTCCACGGCCATGCCAGTCTGAGCAGTCTGTGCCACGAGGCCATCCTGCATGCTCGCACCATGGGCCTGCGCACCGTCTTTACTGATCACAGTCTGTTTGGCTTCGCCGACGCTGCCAGTATCCTGACCAACAAGCTGCTCAAGTTTACCCTTAGCGATGTCGACCATGTCATCTGCGTCAGTCACACGTGCAAGGAAAACACCGTCCTCCGCGCCTCTCTCGATCCTCTCATGGTCTCGGTCATCCCCAATGCCGTCGTCGCTTCCAACTTCCGCCCTCTACATCCCCAAGACGCCACTCAGCCTTCGATGCGCTCTGCTCTGCCACCTCCGCCTCCCCAATCCTCTCAGCCGCTCGGTCCCAATGACACAATCACCATTGTCGTCATCTCCCGTCTTTTCTACAACAAAGGAACCGATCTGCTGATTGCTTCTATCCCACGAATCCTCGCTTCGCACCCAAACGTCCGTTTCATAATCGCCGGCTCCGGGCCAAAGGCAATCGACCTCGAGCAGATGCTCGACCGTCATATTCTCCACGATCGCGTAACCCTTCTGGGGCCTGTCCGTCATGAAGAGGTTCGCGATGTCATGGTTCGAGGTCACATATACTTGCATCCCAGCTTGACCGAAGCCTTTGGAACCGTTTTGGTAGAGGCTGCAAGCTGCAATCTACTCATTGTATGCACCAGGGTTGGTGGAATCCCCGAGGTCCTCCCTGGACACATGACTGTATTTGCTAAGCCTGAGGAAGACGACCTTGTTCGTGCGACCAGCGAAGCTGTGGGTCTCTTAATGGGACAGGATCAGAAGCGTACTGTCGTCCGTAGGGACCGTTTCCATGAGCAGGTCCGCATGATGTACAGCTGGTCTGACATTGCTCGCCGCACTGAGCGTGTTTACGACCTGATTACTGGAAACGAGGAGCAGTCCTACAATGATTTCTACACCGACCAACAAGACGCCAAATGGCGCCACTACGGGAAACATGTCTCCCCCGCTTCACAATCCTTTGCCTTGATTGATCGTTTGAAGAGATACTACGGCTGTGGTATATGGGCAGGCAAGCTCTTCGTGCTCTGCGTCGTCGTGGATTACCTACTTTTTGTGTTTCTTGAACTGTGCTTTCCTCGCAGCAACATCGATATCTGTAGAGACTGGCCGAAAAAGAAAGAGGCAATCGATACCCTCGAGGAAGCAAATAGTCAAGATAACTCGGCTAAGAGAACTCGAAGCGCGCGAGACGTCAGTCTGGAAGCCACAAAGCAGAATCTAACTTAAGGTACCTCGTCATACCATTCTTTCTTCGAAACTGCCTCGAGGAACAAAGGCGGCGAACGACTGGTAGAAGTCACACAGTCCTTCGGATCGAGAAAAGCCTTGAACTTCGTGAGCGAGCAGAATGTTGGCATAACATCGAGTCGCGGTGATAGACGGCTATTATTGGCAACATCACAGGGTACTGAGTTAGGGCTCTGACCTTTATTCCCTCCGAATCTGGAAGTATTATGCGACTAGGGCTCCGAAGTCTGGAGGTGGCTGTCCCAAAGTCAAATCTACGTCGAGATGATTTTTTCTGTCCAGCACTTCAGAAACTCACAAATATCTTCGAAGACCGTTCAGCTGTCGATCCCGGAAGGGAATTTCTGGATTCCTGTCCTAGAACGTGCCAAATTCGACCTTCATGCAAAAATTCCTGTGGTAGACATTTGATAATTGAGAATGCACATAGATGAGACGAAACAAAAGATGCCAATACTAAACGAAAGGTTATTTGCCAAGGTCGTCGGTTCAGAAAGAATGTCAACTAATGAACCTCAATGACGAATACGGGCACCCCAGCTTCTATACGGTCTCAGCCATGACAGGAAGGCTTACCTTCTCTCGCTGATCGCCTATTGTAGACAAAATGTGCGTCTTTGTGGTCAGTGTGCAGCAGCGGCTTCTCGTAACATATCTTTAGTCAAGGAGCAATACGGTTACCAAGGATCTCGATACCTTATATTCCTTCAATGGCACGTTCCGCTTCGAAGCAAGACTGATTGGCACAGCCCGGGGTGAAAGAGACCCTGAGATCACAAGTCCTGCGTATGTGATACGGATATGCACCTTGAAAGAGAATGTAACGAGAGTTCATGGCAAACAAGATACCCATTTCCTCATGTATCAGAGCGATACCCGATGCGAGAGCTTGAAACAACCATTAAGCTCGCAGACGTGTTGATCTTCAAGATATTGCATAACATCTCCTTGTAATACACTTTGTGAGCTCGGGTTCGATGAGACTTCTGCGCCCCTACGGTTACGTTATATCTCTTACCCTGTGCTGCGGACTGGCTTGGAAACCCAATTTTAACATTCACGTAATGTCTTCAGCATCTGCCTTATAAAGCTAGAACAACCGCCATTGCTCGAAGCTTTCATCTTGAGCATCAATCATACAGTTTGTCAGCAGCAGTAACATTATGTTGTAAGTACATGTGTGTCAGATTCGAGCAGGAGTATTGACAAGCCAGAAGTCAACAGGCAATATATTGTTTTACCGCAGCAGCATACTTTGTGTTTTACTACTTCTCCGGAACACTCTTCTTCGATGTCGTCCATTTCCTCTTTCACCAATGCGCTAGATCACGGTCACGGACTCTGCGTCAGATATCAAAAATCCATGCCGTTCACCATTGGTACTTCGACCGGCATCTCAAATACAACAGTCGATACAAGCTTGCCAACGCTTTGACGAACCTTCCGTTAGAGCTTTCATCTCAACTCATCGGCTCGTGGCTTTCGCAGAGATGTTTGTCTCCGATGATACAACAGGATGGTCGAGAACTTGCGATGACTATCCTTCATGTCACTATGGCCATTGAAATCATCAGGGTCGTCGTCGTGGTTGTTCTCGAAGGCAAAGATTCCAACCATGTCTATTTCAGCACCGTGCCCAAAGACAGAGACTGGCTTCTCGTGGGTCCTGGGTATCATGCTTTACAGTAAGATGAAGATATAGACATGAAAAAGAGAATCCAGCTGACTGTATCCACTGTCCAGNNTCACATGTATCCTGATCAGTTCATAAGTTCGCTCTTCAGACTGTTCGATTGGACCATGGGAACCTCATCAGCCCTTAGGAACAAACGTGTTGCTATAAGTGGTGCTCGGGGTGCCTTTGGAGCGGCCTTGAAGAAAGAGCTGGAGTCCGACGGCGTGTCTGTGATCGCAGCGCTCCAGTACAAGGTTGACTTCGATGATGAATCAGTGTCAACAGGTGGTATCCGGACACTCGCAAATACCGACATATTGATTCTCGCCCATGGGCTGAGATACGGCGATGTGATGAAGGCCAACTATGAGACGAGCAGACGTCTTGTGGAAGTGTTTGCACAGACCCGTAAGTCTCGTATATCGCGTCGACCTACTGAGCTGCCAGAAGTGTGGTACACGGGTAGTGAGTCGGAAATGCATCCGAGTTGGGGAAACGAGTCACTAGCAGCGTATTCGGCATCCAAACGTCGCTTTCTTCCCTTTGCAAAGTCGCTTTACGAAAGCGAGACTGTGGTCTACAGACATATCGTCCTTGCGGCGTTCTCGTCCAAGATGGGGCCAGCCATGGTGAGCGCGGATTGGGCTGCAAAGTGCACCATGTGGTGGATCAGGAGGGGCTTCAAATACGTTCCTGTGACCTACACAGGCATTGCCTACGTCCACTTTTTCAAGTTCTTGTTTGGCATCAAGGCGGAGGCAAACGGACTGCGATTCGGGACCGAGAAAGAGGTCGAGGTCGAGGATTGTGTAACTACATAGCTGCAATGTGAGGGTGATTGGCACATGAGAGGTCCAAGACAGCGGGGAGGCGGCCAGCAGACAAAGCCGAGGATCGTCAGTAGTCCAACAACAGATGGCGAGCTGCAATTAGCCCTCCAGTGCAAGCATCCGATGCCTGTCTGCGAGTCTCGACACGTTAATATATCGCTATTCTGCAGCGCGGGCATGGGTAGCACCAAAGCGTAGATGGACTGTCTGCTGCAGTCGTATACATTCTGTTCATCGGTTTCTAGTGCCTCTGATGACTTCTGGTAGTCGCAAGCACGGAGACTCTGGACGCCTTCCCGCCCAAACACGAGGCCCGACAATACCACGACCCGGCGCCGCGCCTGCTCCCATTGTCGCTTCTCCACCCACGTCGTCGCCTCCCCTCGCATCGGCCTGCCCCTCCGTCTCGCCAACACAGCACCAGCATCAACAGCCACCTGTCGCAGACCTGTCACTCCCCAACCCGACGTCATCGCCGCCACAGGAGCCAAGATTGAAGCCTCACGAGCGCAATGAAGACGACCATGCTGTGTCTCTTGTAACCACGACCCCTGAGGTATCCCGACGAATGCCACATCCGCCCACCGCCACGCCGACCGCCTCTGACCACTTGGATACACAGCACCACGCGCCGACAGAGGACAAGAAGCGCTCTCACCCTGACCCACACCACTTCCGCCCTCCACCGCCTCCGCTCCGCCCACCCATCTCGGCCGCCAACACCATCCCTCGGCCTTCCGACAAACCCTCATCCATATCGCTGCCCCCTCCGCCTCGTCCGCCCGTCTTGCAATCCGTGTCCAGCGACGCCATTGACGCGCCCCCGCTGCGCAAGAAGCCGCGTCTGCTGCCGCGCCACGAGCGCTTCACCTTCGCCGGCCCTTCCATCAACCGCCTGCAGCCTCCATCGCCATTGTTCTTCTCAAACTCTCCGCGGCCGCGCCCGCACCTGCCACCGCGCTTCACCTCGTTCGAGGCAGGAGCCACAATGTTGAGCAAGGCCAACAATGAGGACAGCCACGTCAAGACCGTAACTCTGGCACGCGGCACCGTCTCCAACTCGTTGCGCCGCTCCATCGACCGCTCCAGCACCGGCCGCAGTGCTTCGCCCGACCTGCGTGGTGAGCTCTCGCTCAATTCTATCGGTATCCTCGAGCTCCTTGATCATGACGATCGTCCTGCCATGATAGTGGACCTGGCAGATGGCACAAACAACACAGAGGCTTCGTTACGACCTGTCTTTACAAACAGGTCGTTGCGCTCGTGCCCTGATCTCATCAATTCCTTGACGGGTATTGCTCGAGACCAGGATGGAGCCGCCTTTGTACAGTTCAAGACATGGGCACTTGGTTTGCAAGTCGCTGGAGAGTCACTTAGCGTTCCGCTACCGACCCACGTCTATGCTGGTACGAGCTGGTCGTTCTCGACCCTTCGCAAACGGCTGCGTATCATCAGCGGCGCATCGGCTACCATGACTTCAAATGGCGCTTTGGCTTCATCTGCAAGCCGTCAATCGTCCAACTCGACCTCGACATCAGCCATGTCCATATCGCAACCGTCTTCTTCTTTGCCCATCTCCAGCTCAGCCCTGCCTACGACGTTGGAAGAACCAGATGACTATTTTGGCAGTGCAGCACCTGCCCCAACCTCAGCTCCTGCTCCAGCAGACACATCCTCATCCATCATCCCCTCAACTGAAGCAGTCGACGACAAGACTCTATCAACTTCATCACCATCACTGTCACTCGACTCTCGCAAAATCTCACCCCTCAGCGTCCGTGACACCACGCTGATTGATACCCACCCCTCCTTTGTTAACGAGCAAGTACTCTGCGCCCAAACTGCGGGCAATATTGACTGGTTTGACAGTTCCTCGGCTGGCTTTTGCCAGGAAGGCCCGTCCTTTGACTGGACCCGTCTGCCCATCAGTGATTCGATGCCTCCGCACATCAAGTTCGCACGGAGCATTGAATGGGAGAAAACCCCTCTGGGCTCCATAGAAGGCTGGTCCTCAGATTTGCGTCAGATGTGTAACCTCATCATGGCCAGTCCCCATCCAGCTGCTATGTATTGGGGCCAAGAGTTGGTCGCTATCTACAACGAAGCTTACGTCATGTTGGCTGGTCAGAAGCACCCGGCGCTGATGGGCCAGCGATACTCGGATGCGTGGTCTGAGATTTGGCCTGATGTCAAGGATGTATTCTCTAATGCGCTTCACACCGGTGAGGCAACCATGAAAGACGACGACCGGCTATTCATTGTACGCAACGACTATCTCGAAGAGACGTACTTCTCGTGGTCCATCATTCCTATGGTTGGTGGGGATGGCAGTGTCATGGGCTTGTACAATCCTGCCTTCGAGAAGACAAGACGAAAGCTTGCTGAGAGACGCATGATAACGCTTCGTGAGATTGGTGAGCGTACCGCCCCAGCAAGAGATATCAAGGGCTTCTGGGGCCAAGTCCTCGCCGCATTGGATCTGAATGAACACGACACACCTTTTGTCATGCTGTACTCTGTTCAGGACGAAACGGATAGCGATGCGTCGTCCGTTCATTCCAACAGCGTCATGGCCAACAGACAATGCGTTCTCGAAGGCGCTCTAGGTGTTCCTGAGGACCACCCTGCAGCCGTCTCGTGTTTCGACCTCAAGACCGGCATGGAAGGACTCGGGCCAGTCTTTCGTGAAGTAATGAAGACCGACAAGCCTGTCCTTCTCGAAGTCGGTACAAAGGATCTCCCCGCTAAATTACTGGAAGGGCTCGGCGGGCGAGGTTTTGCTGACTCGTGTCGCAATGTTGTGGTCTGTCCTATACATCCTACTACTGGGGAAGCTGTGCTCGGATTCCTTGTTATGGGCGTGAACCCTCGAAGACCATACGATGAAGATTATAGTCTCTTCATACAGTTACTCAACAGACAGCTTGCGACTTCGTTGGCTTCTGTTGTTCTTTTTGAAGAGGAAATTCGACGAGGTCAAAAGGCAGCAAAGCTCGCCGCGATCGATAGAATGGAACTTTCAGAACAACTGGCAGCTCGCACGCAAGAAGCTATTGAGAGTGAAACAAAGTTCACTCGAATGGCAGAGTTTGCACCTGTCGGCATGTTTATAGCTGACTCTGCAGGCACCATTACTTACTGCAACGATACGTGGTTTGAGATTTCTCGAGTTTCCAGGGACGAAAACACTCCGGATCATCACTGGATGGACGCAGTCAACGACGAGGATCGCGAACTCATCAATAAACTATGGCATGATCTCATTGTCGAAAAGAAGCCTCAAACCGGTACTTTTCGGTTCAAGTCAAAATGGCATGGTTCCGAAGGGTTGGAGGGTGATCGATGGGTACTTTTCTCTGCCTACCCGGAGAAATACGAGGACGGTAAGCTTAAAAGCGTCTTCGGCAGTCTTACAGACATCAGCAAACAAAAGTGGGCCGAAGGGTTCCAGAAACGCAAGATGGAAGAGGCTGTGGAGCTCAAGAGACAACAAGAGAACTTCATCGACATCACCTCACACGAGATGCGCAACCCGCTTTCGGCGATATTGCAGTGTGCTGATGAGATAACCACAACGATGAGCCGTCTTAGAGATGGCCTGAACGGTCAAGCTTCTCTGGTTGCACCCATTGACAAGTTCCTCGAAAAGGGTCAGAATGTAGAGGAGACAGTTGACGGCATTCTGTCAAGTACGGTAGACTCAGCTCAGACTATCGCTCTTTGCGCACAAGTAAGTCATTTCATCCTAGCCATGCCCACTATCTTTTTGATTGCAATTCACTCGGGCATTATACTTACATTTTACCAGCACCAAAAACGAATGTAGGTCTTCTATCTCTAGCGACGGTCGCTAGATTACTCTCTACGAGTAATTCCATATACTAACACGAAAGATCAGNNCGTCGATGATATCTTGACCTTGAGTAAGCTTGATTCGCAATTGCTACTAGTTACTCCGGTGGATGCGCAGCCTCTCACCGTAGCACAACGTGCGCTGAAGATGCACGAAGGCGAGCTCCAAACTGCTGATATTCAACTCAAGTTTGTTGTTGATGATTCATATAAGAAGCTCGGTATTGATTGGGTAAAGTTCGATCCTTCGCGCGTGTTGCAAGTTTTGGTAAGTATAACGTCGGCATTATGATAGACTTGAGCTAAATGGAATGACCAGATCAACCTTACTACCAACGCCATCAAATTCACAACGACCGAGAAGAAACGGACAATCACCGTCACGTTAGCGGCCTCAACGAAACGTTTCTCGGAATTGGAGCACCGTGTGGTCAATTACTTTCCCACGCGCAACAAGCATTCGGATCTCACTAAAGAGAAGGATTGGGGTGATGGTGAAGAAGTATACATCCACTTTGCTGTTCAGGACACGGGTCGCGGACTCAACGAACAAGAAAAGAAGATGCTCTTCCTGCGCTTCTCGCAAGCTTCTCCACGCACACACGTACAATACGGAGGTTCTGGCTTAGGCTTGTTCATCAGTAGAGAGCTTACGGAGTTGCAGGGAGGCGAGATTGGTAAGCATCCTCCACCCCCGTAATTATTCCCGCACCACTAACGACCTGTCNNAGGTGTGGCATCTGAGTTTGGAGTCGGTTCCACCTTCGCTTTTTGGGTCAAGGCAAAGCGAAGCAGTGCTCCACCCGAAGCTGATGGACTGAATAGACCTGCTGCTCGTACTGCCAGCGACGCGACTGGCAANAAAGTACCTACCATGATGAATGCCGCGGCTGAAGGGGCAGTTGCAAGTCCTATTAAAGTTCTCGTAAGTCGCACTATTCCCAGCTGGACTCGTCTTCTTCTTTGTCTTCTACGCTCTCCGCACTTATAGCCTGGAGACATATATCTAACTTGTTGCAGNATTGTAGAGGATAACATTGTCAACGCGAGAGTCCTTTCTAAACAGCTCAAAAACCTGGGCTGCGTCGTGCATGTCGCGAACCATGGTGGAGAGGCCCTGGACATTCTTCGCAAATCCACGTACTGGAACCACAAGGCAGACAACGAGCACGTTACCCCAGAATCAGAACGCATTGGATTGAGCGTCGTCCTCATGGATCAGGAGATGCCTATTATGGATGGGCTGACGTGTACGAGGAAGATTCGAGAGTTCGANAAAGAAGGGAAATTCGTCCGTCACGTACCGGTCATTGCAGTGACAGCCAACGCTCGAAACGAACAGATTGAGACGGCAATGAGTGCCGGCATGGTGAGATGAGTAAACGTCGACCGCTCAATACTTGATTTGCTAATCATCTTCACANNGGACGATGTCATGCCAAAACCGTTCCGCATACCAGAGCTGATCCCCAAGATTGAGGAGCTTATGGCCAAATATCCGGAAATTTAGAAGAGAAGCGTGATTTGTTATCATGGTCCTGTACCAGACAGGACTGAGTTTTCTTGAGATACCCGTTTCTTGCGTTCCAAGTATGAACATTCGGATAGTTTGAGAGGTTCGTTGTTGCCACTACATGCAGCTGGAGTGAACGATATTCAGGAGGTTTTGGAGTAAGCATTCGCGGGGATCGAACTCAGAAGTTAGAACTCAGATGAAAATTACCAACTGCATTAGATAATAAGCGATCGTTCTTTGGGTGGTGCCCCAGATACCTGTTGCAGACTCGTCCGTACGGAGTAGTGTACAGTCAAGCTAAGGACTCGCATGCATCAAGACTGATCGGTCACCACCAACACTTCTCCATGCAATATCATGCTCTGCTGGCATGCTCGATTTGAACAAGCTTGTCAGTTACAATTACCGGACCGATCGGGCCTCTATGCAGTCGCTTCGAAGATAAGTGTTGGAAATGGCGATCCTTGCTAGTCGGGGTGATGAAGCCTGGGCCCCTGGCGCTTCCACAAGTCACCTCAGTGGCTGCATTATCAGCATGCCGCCAAACGCATATGACCTACATATTAGCCGCGCAACTTGGGAGTCTACGCCGCAAGTCTGTGCTAAGCTCGACTTCGGTAAGCTGATGTTCTGATGGTTGTGTATCTCAGCGCACATCGTCCGTCTCCACGACTTTTTGACCTCTCTCATATCTGCACATACAATGGCCAACTTTGCTGCCTAGTCGTTGCACCTATGAAGCTTTGTTCCCGTTTGCCTGCGCAAAAAGTCTGCTGGCAATGTAGATGCGGCTTGTCTGCGCCTTCCCCCTGGTCCAGCAAGTTCCAACATAATTGTGCCGCCGAAAGTCATCACAACCAATGTCGATATGGCTGTAGCATCGCCATACATGCCTTCTGAATCTGCCTTTAGCCCATTCGCGGATTCCCCAAGTTCACCTGTTTTATATCAGGCTGACATTCCCAGCTCTAAAAGGCACTTCCAATGCCCCGCCCATATCGTAAAAACATGCTAAGCGTTGTCAACAGGTCGTCCACCGCGTCCGACAGTCTAGCGCCCCCTCCGTCTCCATATCCACAGGTCGATCCTTCGCCTACCGATTCGAACGGTACAGAGAACACTGATATCGAAGATGACATCCAAGAGCAAGTCGAAGATACTCTGTGCGGTGCTGCGGTGCAATCAAGCCGGCCCCAGAGTCGCGAGAACGTACGCATCTTCAATCCAAGATATCATTGCACAACGACTTATCAACTCAAGGCAGCTNNCGTCAAGCTAGACACCACTGTCGCTTCTCGGTCGAGATCCGGTTCGGATGAGGCACCTTCATCTGTCATACATGTGCCGCTCGGCTTCAGAGAGCTTGTTAGTACAGCCACCCATGCATCTTCTACGAAACTCCTGACATAACGTTACTAGGACATATCGAGCCGCTTGAGCTCAGAGAGCAGCATATATATGTCCAACAATGATACCAATCATGACAGCGCTTCTCCAAGTACACCAGATGCAGCCCTGGGTCCAGAAGACACGCGTCTATCGTCTGTCACTTCGCCTTTGAACACAAACATACCCCTCGATAAAGGAATCGATAGACCTACTCCACGAGCTCAGACACGGCAAGAAGCGGAAGACGAATGGAAGAGGCGATCTAGGCGGACATCCAGTCTCGAGGGTTCGTCGATCTTCGAGCTTCTCTATGTGGAGGCGGTGCTGACAAGAAAAGATATCCCAGAGACGATAGCTGTAATCGACAAGGCCGGCGATCACTCGCGATCGGATCCAGCAGACGAAACACCCGAGCTGCGGTGTGCACTAAATGAGTGTTATAACCTTTGCAAGACTCTTTCTAATCTAAGTTCCAACCATCGCCAGCGAGCTCGGGCAGAGTCGCGATCCGATGCCCATCAGGAACAAGCATGGCGCAGCTGCTGGTATCTTTGCAAGCAACTTTACGAATCATACAACAACCGGTCTCATACACAGCAAATTCTGGAAACATGTCGAGGATTCTGTCAAGCTCTGTTCGACGTTCGTCTGCGAGGCGACGAGTCTGTAGATTCCGTCCTCAGAGTCAGTTTCGAGATGAATAATCATCTCTACAACACACATGATCGCCACCTTCCCGAGGCGTTCAAGGAGAGGACCTTGGAATTCTATGTCACTCTGTGTCATCGAATGATGAAGCGCTCGACTTCGCTAACTCAGGACAACGATGCACTCTTGAGAGCTTGCTGGTCTCTGGCTGAAGCACTTTTCAACCTGAGGCACGTGGGTCGCGATGCAAAGACACTTGATGAATTACTCGCATCAGCTATTCAAGCCTGTTGGGACCTATCAGATATCTTTAGAGAGGGCTGGAGTGTTCTGCGACCTGACAAGAGTACACCACGACCCGGCCAATCTGGATTCTCGTCATTAGTATCACAACATTCAACAGGTCAATCCGAGCGAGCTCCTTCTAGCTTGAGTAGCGAGTATCACGATGCACCATTGCCGCCAGAGACTCCAACGACGGTCTTTGATGATGCCACCACGGTCTCGTCACCGGAATCAGTCACCATTCCCAACATCCTGGTACTTGGACCTGCTGTCCCGGCAAGTTCGGGTGGCTCGACCCGTGGTACCAAACATCACGACCGCTGGTCTAGCAATGCATCAACACTGAGCGACTACTCAGAACCTGCAGATTCACAACGTACCTCGTCGACCGCACGCGCGAGTAATGATGGCAAGCATCTCCTTCGCCTACGTTGTCTTATCCTCAAAGCAGCTCTCAATGTTGGTTTCTCCCGAACGTCGAATCATTCTCTTACCTCGTTTGTCGAATCACTTCCGGCAACCACTTTTGGCAACCAGTTGTGGCAAGTTCAGTTATTCGAGCACTATAAACGGCTTGTCACTGTTGATCAAAGTCTTCGGTCTATAGCATCCTTGTCTGGCCGAAGTCTTACTGCTGTCGAAATAGCCAAGGCAGTTATGTGGTTGAGTAAAAACGAGGATTGGGTATGGTTACAACATCTTTACTTGGTCGTCTTTGACTTTGATGTCACAGAAGCGGAAATTAGGGGTGGACTCTTCCAAATCTAATAATAAGACTTGTTGTACCTCCTAGAGTGAAGATCGAGTTGTTAGCAGGAAGACCCTGGCATCTTCTGTAAGCATCTCTAACCATATGAGTATCTGGCGTAATCTGAAGTGTGACACTATCCAGATATACATAGCATTATAGTCGTCGCTGGCTTGCTATTCTCGGACTCATACAGTAAACCCAATGTCGCACTGTCGTGTCATAAAAGGGATTCTGCAATCAATCATTTTACTTATCGGGGGTTCACGACGCGAGCGTCAGCCGAGCGGCTTAAATTTGTGGGGAGAAAATCAAGTTTCCATTTGCGGAGCGACCAGTATCTTTTGCGAAGCAACAAAGTGCACGACTAGAATGCAAAAAGAATTTGATGGTCAGTACGGGCTAATAGCTTGTTAGTAAAGGATTCATTGTCATATTTGTTCGAGTGTACTCACGGTCGAACCCGCGACCTTGGCGTGCCATATATCATGGGTGGATATTAGCACCACGCTCTAACCAACTGAGCTAACCGACCTGTTTGGTGGAGACAAGTCGAGCTGTGTTGAATATATTGCAACCGCGTGTATGAGGCGGAAGGAAAAGCCACTATCAACAGCCCTAATTAGTGCAGAGACAAGTCGGTTACGCTCAGCTGGTTAGAGCGTGGTGCTAATATCCACCCATGATATATGGCACGCCAAGGTCACCGGCAGGGCATGACAAGTCATGCCTTTATAAGGCATACTCGAGAGAAGTGGTCCTCGTTCAAATAATCGGATCGACAAAAGCTAGTGTATGAACGACAGAACTTCTCATGATGGGAATATCGCTCTTGTGTCAAAGACTAGCTCGGCTTCCATGGGGTTTCCCAACTATATACAATCAAGAAAAGTTCTTTCCGCAAGGAAGTATACAGACTAAAACCAATCAATATACCTTCCTCAAACCCCATCCTTGCTTCATCACTCTGACCCAAGAGAATGCAACGTAGCTGATGATGTAGCACAGGCCCGTGAACAGGACAAGGCCCCAATACTCTCCGTTGCATGCTTCAAGCAGTACTCCCGCAATTGGTAGACCTGTGAGTGTGCCGAGCGATACAATTGTGTAGCAAGTGCTGTCTAGAGGTACGGATACAGTCAGCATACTTCTTGAGTGAGGATTGTACACACAGTAGCCAGACAGCCGTTGGCCTATGCTATCAGTACTCTCGATCTTACGTACNNAATATCTGCCATATGATTCAGTGTGGCACATTTGACCAACACACACGGGCGTGAGGCTGATGTTGGATCCAGAGCCAAATCCGAAGAGAATGGCAAATGCGATAGTCAAGCCCAAAATCGTCGAGTCACTACTACCGCCAGACGCGGAAAGGACTGTCGCTGGAAGCCAGAGACCCATTGACGACAGAGCACAAAGGATCAGGCAAACGATCATTAGGTTTACTCTTCCTGCCTTGTCTGCAAGATACCCCGGTGCCCATCTGCCAATGACCGATCCAGCATTGAAGATGGCAATGAGCTGATACGCAAACGTTGTGCTGAAAGCACCAGAGCTCAATGCGTAGGACGTCAGATACGAGATTGGGATGAACAGTCCCCACTCAGCGAAAAAGACCCCAACCGTGGTCAAGGCGAAAGGTATGTCTCGGAAAATCCTGAAGTCAGGCAACACGCTGCCACCAGGCTTGGGCGGCAGCCGTGAGCGTATGAAGAGATTTGCCATGAGGAGAAGACCAACATAGATGAAGCCTTGAATGCGTGTAGCCCACTCCCAGCCGACTTTTGGAAAAAGGTTCTGTAGCATTAGAGGAAAGATGACACCACCGACGGCGCCGCCGGTCGCTGCAACACCAGTCGCGTTACCACGTCTTACCATGAACCAATGAGATATACTGGAGACAGCGGGAGTGAATATCAAACTCGTTCCAATGCCCCCAAGAACTCCAAAGCAAAGCATAAAATGCCAGTATTCTGGTTTCCCTATATTAGATATGATTGCTCGCTATGGCCACATTTTGTAGACTTACTNTGTACATATTCCCAATAATTGGGTGGAAGCTATCAAGCAGACACTACCCAGGAAAACCAACAGACGAGGGCCCTTGGCGTCGAAGTACGGGCCGATTTGGACGCCACAGAAGAAAGAAAGAAAGGAATATACACTGAAGATCCAAGATATTTGACTCTCTGAATAATCAGCCAACTGATGTTGGGCCAGGTACGCCTGATAGACACCTTTTGATCTAGTCAGCCATGAGCTTCAATCTCAGTATGCGGGCAACAAGAACGAACCTATCGAGTTCATAAGTCCTAGAGCTGCAAGCATGCCGCAAANAGACCCAAACACGACCAACCAGCCTTTGCCACCTTCCGGGTACGAGACATCTTGGTCTGTCAGACTCCTTGAATCTATGTCTCGGTATAAAGAGTGTGGTTTCTCGGTGTCCGTCGATCCATGATATGTTAGTGGCACAATTGGTGGGTCCAAAGCAGTTATGTCTTTGGCAATGGCGGTTCCGGGCGTTGTGCCGTGAATCGTAGAAGCTGTCATGAAGGGTTGAAAGCCTGGGTATTATGCAACATGCAACTTTCCAACCAAGATGACTGATTGACTTAGTGTCAATAATGGACTAGGAAAAGACAATGAGGACGGTTGCTGTTGGGGAAGCGTGAGTAATTGTTTTCTCCGCCTTCCAAGAGATGGTTCGGCCGCAGCCGATGGCCAAAGACGGAATTATTGCCGTTAGACAGCAGCTTCCCACAAGACCTTCTCCAAATGCAACTGGCTTCCAAGCAGTGTGTGAGCAGACACAAATATCACCATTCAGATTTGGTGATGGAGGTAGAGTTTTTCACAAACATAAATTCATTCAGCAGACAGGCATCAAGCCCGCTAGCAATAATTAGCAAGTACCGGTACTTGTACCTATTCTATTTCCTCCTCACCAGCATCGGCCTCGACCTTTTCGAGCCTCTCCATGTTGTCTTTGTCAAACACGCTCTCTTTCGGTATCCGTTGTTGTCCGAAATCGACGACCGGACCGATGAGCTCCCTCCACTCCTTTCTTCTGTCCATCAACATCTTGACGCCTTCGCTGACCAAGTTTCGACTGATGGCCACACCAGTACCACCTGGCCTGCCCTTGCCTGCGCCCTTCTTGGGCTTGCTCATTGTGCGGTTCCGCTTCAAGTAGGCCGTATTGATCTGAGTGTCGAGATCATCAGCGATGGTTGAGTATTCTTGCATGGCCATGCGCTCCTCTGTCAACTCAAGTACACGTGCTTTTCGAGCAGTATTCTCTCCCGAAACGCGCTGGAGCTCTGATTGTAGATAGCGCAGGCGAGCAGCGACTTCGTCATCGTACTGTGAATCATAATCCGGTGTTGCTTCTGGCGTAACAAAGCCGCAATAACGTAATTCTTGTAGTGTTCGCTGTTCCAGAGGTGCAAAGTCGCGACCTGCGTTGGGCGGGATCTTGTGCTGATCTGGGAAATGTGTCGCCGGCTTGAATGAGGCGACGGTATCTGATGATTCTTCGTTGTTTGTGGGTTGCTCGTTTTCTTGGCCGCCTGCGGTGCTTTCTCCGTTGGTCATCGAGATGTCGGCATTACCATTAGCTTGGTCGTCTTTTGGAAAATGCGGATCATGACGGAAACCGCTCATAAGACGTGATATCAACGGCCCAGCCGACACTTGAGCAGTTTCGGCGACATCATCGTTCATGTCTTCAATGTTCCCTCTAGGCTCATTCAAAGGCAGACGAATGTTGAAATCGTGATGGCTCACACCGTCTTCCTTGGCCCAAACTTCATAGTACGGCATAGGCCCTCGCGGCGGAATAAGATATGGTGTGACACGGTCGCCACGTTCTTTCAGAAAGGCGACATCTTCTTCGGTCAGGGGACGAATGTAGGGCTCGACATAAGCTTGGAAGGTGGAAAAGTTGATCTGACTGGCAGGTTTGGCGCTACTAAAGTCCATATCTGGAGGGGTACCAGGTGTCAAGTCGTGCAGATCATCGTGGGGGAAGCGAGCAACACAGAAGATGGCCTTTTTCTCGTCGTCAGTCATGTCGGGCGTCCAGTCGCGAATGTGGTAGATGGTGGGGTCGTCGAACTGAGTGGGGTCATTGCCAAAGGTTTCGTAATGCGCAATGGCGGGAGCAGGGGCCGGTTGGTGTTCGGCATCGGAGGGAGCGGGTGACGACGAGTCGTTCTCGGCAGCAGGCTTGGTGGCAGAGGGAGACTCGGGCGGAGGAGAGGGTTGGCCATCCTGGCGCGCAAGACCGTGAGCGCCAACAGCGGGAGGCCGGTGTGAATCGTTCTTCTTTGCGACACGGGCCTTTTTGCGCTGTTCTGCCTCGTCTTCGCGGCGCTCGCGGTCGAGTTCTTGGTCGGCGCGGAGCTTTCTTTTCCTCGAGAGCTCGCGCATACTGCGATCGCAGGCGTCGCTGAGGGAGCGGACGTTGGGAAGGACGTGTGAGTGGATGCTGTCGTGCAGAGCATGCAGGCTCGAGGCCAAGGNGGGACTGGTCGAGTTTGTGGCGTGCTTGTCCATCAGAGCGTCGATGGACAGATTCGGAGACAGGACCAGCAGGGAAGTATGGAGATACGGGGTGGTTGTGGGTGCGCCGGCGCTACCACTGGCCGAGTGTGAGGCCGTGGCAGAGGTCGGACTGGTGGCGCGCGATCGCGAGCGCTTCTCACGCGGACGGGCTTGAGACGGCGTGTTCTTGGACGAGAAGGCCATGATGGCTGGGCGAGGACATGAATGCCTGGTTGATGGATGTCGTCGCGGGCACGAGTAGTGAGTAATGATGGTTTGCGACGACCTCCACAAAGACGCACATGCTCGAGGGCCGTGCGGCAATCAAGCTTTCCAATCTGCCTTCCCCTCGATCCGCCTTCCCGCGCGTGTCGCTCGCCCGCCTTCGCATGATTTGCCTTCGTCGTCGGCGTCCGTGTTTCTGTCCTCTTGCCTGCTTGTCTTGGTTGCCATGGCCCAGCCCGACATTGTGCGCTGACGTCTCTTTTCCTATCTCACCTTGTGCGCTCACATACTCTCTCCTACTCGACTCGTCTTCCGCCTTTGCTGCGCCTGCACCTCGGCCCATCCATTAATCATGTCGAGTTTGAGCATAACCACATACGATGACTCCGCGCGTCTCCTTGTGCCGCAGGATGTAGCCTTCAACTTCCAGCAAGACAGCAACGTCCGTACACTAAACTCTGGCTCCCAGTCTGCTCCGAGCGTGGGACTCCTCTATGTCCCCAATGTCACGGGCGTATGCGCCCAGTCTCTGCCTCAGAATGTAACAAGATATCAAGCTCTCTCCGTGAACACTCCTGCATTCGCCATAGCTCCATGGATCTCTCCTTCCTGTACCCTCAGCTACCTTCAAGCTGCCTCCAATGACATGGCCGTTGCCTTTGTCTTCTATGTTCCTGATCAGATTAATGCTCCACTCGCTTCGGCAAATTCTCCTACGTGGGACCTGGGAGACAGCGGCCACTGGCGATCCCAAACCGCCTACCCAGTCTATGCTGTCGCCTCGCAGGTCGGCCAGATGACCATGCAGCAGTTGTCTCTCTATTCCGGGAACGCCGACAGCGTACTCAGCCCTCAGCTTCTCGCTGTCCACAACATTTCTTCTGACGCCCATCTTCGTCTCTTGATCAACATCACTACCACCAGTAGTGGTGGTACCAACCTTCCTAGCATCTGGATCTTCTTGCTGATTATTCTTGCTATCCTGATTGTGCTCATCGGGACCCTCTCTCTAACCATGCACATCATACAAAGGAAGAGGCGTAATGACCTGCGCGCCAGGATAGCCCGAGGCGAAGTCAACATCGAATCGCTCGGACTCGGGAAGCTCACCGTGCCTCAAGAGATCATAGATCGGATGAACACTTACACGCCTTCTGCCAATACCATTGTGCCAGAGAAAGGATCGTCACAAGCTTCGCCTCCTCTTGAGCAGTCTACCTGTGCGATTTGCTTGGACGATTTTACCGAGTCGCAATGTCAAGTACGCGAACTGCCCTGTAGACACGTCTTCCACAACAACTGCATCGATCTCTTCTTACTAGACACGTCATCCATGTGTCCTCTCTGCAAGCAGTCAGTCCTGCCAGAAGGTTATGTGCCTGGCAAGATCACAAACGCCCACGTCAGAAGGGACAGGTACCTCCGACGAAATGCAGCTCGGAGGGCCCGTCACGCCGCCGCCGGAAATCAAACGTCTAACGCGAGCAATCTCATGTTGTTCGGTTCACAGGCCCGGGGCTCTACCAATGCTTCTGCTCATGCTCCACCCATCGAAATGACATCCATACCAGAGCACAGCGGCATGCAAACAGCTCAGGCCATCCCGGCAGCCCCGGCCACGACCCAAGGACGAAGAGAGTGGGCGCGGGGACGCGCGCTGGCCATGTCAGGACTGCAGGGCGCTTCGCTTGATGAGAGCGAGCAGCCAGAACCGAGGACTTCCAAGGCCCGCAAGCTCTTACGCAGGATTTTCCCATCCTTTTGAATCTATCGATTGATCTTACGAACTTCATGTCGCATCAATGTCCATTTGTATATACCCGGCCTTGTGTTTTCAGTCAAATACGAACCAGATATTCTTCCTTGCGTGCAAGGTATAGTCCCAACTTCACGTCCAACCCTTCTATGTTATCAAAGGCTAGAAACGCACAGTTTCTCTATTGGTAGAGGTGCCATCATGGAAATACCCGAACGTGGTTTCTCTCCGTGAACATAGCTCTGCTATGCAAAGGAATGCATTCCTATTCCACTGTGACTGGTAATGTTGCCACTGATCCAGTTCAGTTGTCCTTGCATTTTTTCTCGAAACCGCCAATGATCATATGGTGCATCGCCACACGATCTCTTGTCCGCTATCCTGCTTCTCGTTCTTCGTCCAGATCTAGCTGATTACGGCTAGCGCAATAGGAGACGTCCGCTGATCTACTCGAGCAAAAGTTCCCTGGGCCTGGGGCCACCTTAACGGGACTGGAGTCTGCTACATGCTCTGCCACATGGTCAGTGACATGGTCAGGAAGATAAGAACTACACTCTGTGTATAGCAGATGATGCGGTCGTAGAATGGAGCTCATACAGTGCCCTGGATTCGTCATCGAATATGAACGTAGCTGGAGTTCCTATACCAACGGCCGTCTGTAGACTTAAAAGCGCAATCGAGATTCTAATATGGTATACAAGGCGTAAATGCTTGCATTATTGCTCAATTCTGTACGTGGGTATCGATTCTGAAACTTTGTCTTGCAGATCCAAAAGCGAAAATTAAGCTCACCAGAGAGCCGCATGGCAGACACGTGTGTTTTAACGTTAGGGTTAATTAATCGACTGGCTGTTTATGCCAAGGACAGATCATCAAGACTGAGAAAGATTGAAGTCTCTCTCCCGTTTCCTGAAGAAGAGTTCATTTATACAATGGGTGACTAGAGAATGGTAGCTTGCCAGATACTGACTGCATCTTGTGTCGTCCGGTTATGCCCCACCACTGATCTCATCCGCTTGCGGAGATAGGTTATTAGGGCGATTCGCAAATGCATAGCAAACTGGGATCAGGTCCATGACTTGCCTGTCATGTCTGTTGTGTCAGTGATTAGGTGTTCAGCTTCGGCAGTTGATGGCTCGCGTTCCCGACCGTGTTCCGATGGGTTCATCCGTGAAGTCTGCTGTGATTGGCAAGCGACAAAGCGTGATGAGGGAAACCTGGAATGTTTCACTGCCGCTTGGATTGAATGGTGCTCGCCTCCATATACGGAAGTCACCGCGATATATCACGAATCGCTTAGGATATAATGATCGCTGATTGGGCAGATCCTCTCCACATCGCCGATGTTCCATACTCTGACGTATGCCTAACGAGTGAGGCATGCGAAATAGTAGTTGGAGGTCAATCTGAAGGCTGATCCGTAGACCCGTAGATGGACTGTGTGCCAATAGTAGACTTTCGACTGGTACCGGACACGCGCGGCTCTGCCCTTGCAATATCTCTAGGCCCAAGTGGACCGTGAGCTGTCAAAAGCCATGTGTGTGAAAGTCTTTCTCCAATCACAACAAGGCAGAAGCAGATGATATACTACGTACGTCACTTTCGGTAAGCATTCGCTTTGTCCAAGCTCCGGCCACCAGCAGTGGGTGTATAACAGGCAAGTCTTCCGTCGTGCAAAGCACAGAACTGACCAACCACCTTTACCTTTCCACATCAAGCACAATGGCCCCAGGAATCACAGACACCGTCAAGGAGGCCATCACTGGCTCGCCTGCTGAGAACGCCAAAGTCCTCGCAATGGAAGGCAACATGAAGAACTACATGGATTCGAACAACAGAATCACCACGGATTATGGCGTCAAGCAGACAAACACGGACGACTCACTCAGAGTCGCAAGCGCCGACAAGACCGGTCCTGTGTTGCTTGAAGACCACGCTGGCCGCGAGAAGATACACCGTTTCGACCACGAACGCATTCCAGAGAGAGTTGTTCACGCCAGAGGCGCTGGTGCCTTTGGTACTTTCAAGCTGTTCGAGAGTGCCTCAGACGTTTCTTCTGCTGGTGTCCTGACCGACACCTCGCGTACAACACCTGTCTTCATCCGCTTTTCCACAGTTCTCGGGAGCAGGGGTAGTGCAGATACTGTCAGAGACGTCCGTGGCTTCGCTGTGAAGTTCTACACTGAAGAGTTCGTGTTCCTCAAAAAGTCGACAGTCCAAACCAGCTAACCTTTCCTTGCAGANGGCAACTGGGATATTGTTGGAAACGACATTCCCGTCTTCTTCATCCAAGATGCTCTCAAGTTCCCCGATGTCATCCACTCTGGCAAGCCCGAGCCTCACAACGAAATTCCCCAAGCACAAACTGCGCACAACAACTTCTGGGATTTCCAGTACCTTCATTCCGAGGCAACTCACATGTTCATGTGGGCCATGTCTGATAGAGGTATTCCTCGTTCATACCGAGTAAGTACAGTCATCAAGAGCGGACATTTAACAAATGAAGCTTCACATTGTTGTGTTAGAACCAAGGCTAACTGAATTCAGATGATGCAANNGGGTAAGAGCTACGCGATGCTTGGACGAGAGCGAGGCTAACCAAAGACAAGGTTCGGTGTAAACACTTACAAACTGCTCAACGCCAAGGGAGAGTCTCACCTTGTCAAATTCCACTTCACGCCTCATCTTGGTGTGCACAGTTTCGTGTGGGATGAAGCCCTGAAATTGGCAGGTCAAGATCCCGACTTCCATCGTAAGGATCTCTGGACTGCAATCGAAGGTGGCCAGTACCCGAAATGGGACTTTGGTATCCAAACCATTCCTGAAAGCGAGGCCGACAACTTCGACTTTGATCCTCTCGATGCCACCAAGATCTGGCCCGAAGAAGATTTCCCTGTGAGATATATTGGAGAGCTTGAACTCAACCGCAATGTACGTGTATCAATGTCGCAGTACGCAGATACGAGAGCTATTCGAGACTCGCCATAGCACACTGCTCTTTGCTTACTAAAGATGCTAATTTTCTTGTCCAGNCCTGATGAGTACTTCCCCCAAACTGAGCAGGTCGCCTTCTGTACTGGACATGTTGTGCCTGGAATTGGCTTCTCGGACGATCCCTTGTTGCAAGGCCGCAACTTCTCCTACTCGGATACACAGCTCACTCGTCTCGGCGTCAACTGGCAGGAGTTGCCTATCAACAAGCCCATGTGCCCTGTCATGAATCAAAACAGAGATGGAGCCATGCGTCACAGCATCACCAAGGGAACTGTAAACTACTGGCCGAACCGTTTCGAAGCCACTAAACCTGCCACTGCTGAGGAAGGGGGTTACGTAGATTACCCGCAAAAGGTTGCCGGCATGAAGGCTCGCCTACGCAGCAAGAAGTTCTCCGAGCACTACAACCAAGCTCAGTTGTTCTACAACTCGATGAGCGAACATGAGAAGATGCACATCATGAATGCGCTTTCTTTCGAGCTCGATCACTGCGACGACCCAGTTGTGTACAAGCGCATGGTCGAGAGACTGTGCGAGATTGATCTCGATCTCGCTCGTGGAGTTGCAGAAATGGTTGGTGCTGACATTCCTGAAGAGGCCCGCCGCGTCAACTCTGGAAAACGCTCCAAGAACCTCTCCCAGGAGGACTTCCCTGCCAAGAACTTGACAATCTCAACGAGAATGGTGGCCATCCTAATAGCAGACGGCTATGATTCAGTTTCTTACAATGCCATCAAGGCTGCCCTGGCTGCCCAAGGCGCTCTTCCGTTCACCATTGCTCCCCGCCGTACTCCCATCTACGCTGCTGGCGAGAGCAAGGACTCCGGAAAGGGACTTGTTCCTGATCACAACTTGGAAGGCCAACGCAGTACCATGTATGATGCCATCTTCGTCCCTGGTGGAGCCGACAGTATTGCCACCCTCCGTAAGAATGGCCGTGCTCTGCACTACGTGAGAGAAGCCTTTGGCCACTTGAAGAGTATTGGGGCCACTGGTGAGGCTGTTGCATTCATCAAGGATGCTTGTCAGCTGCCTGGTGTGACTTTCTCTGAGGGCAATGATGTCGTCGACTCTTATGGTGTCGTCACCGCCGCTCAGACTGAGGTTAACAGCTTCAAGGAGGCTGTAAACCTCATCAAGGGCGCAAAGGACTTCACAACAGCTTTCTCATACGCAATCTCCCAGCACAAGAACTACCAGCGCGAGCTTGATGGTTTGGCAAACATGGTCGCCTACTAGATGAAGAATGATGTACGAGGCGTGGTACAGATTGTACTTGATTCCGTATGAACGTTCAGCAAAGATACCAGCTTTATAATTTAGAGAGTTTGGCATTATCCTAAGACTCAATCTTGTTTATATCCTAAAGCTGTACCAATCCTGTAATGTCGTTTAAATGTTGGCTCTCGAAGTCTAAGTTGGAACCACCAGCGCGGATTCAAGAACAACAATGACTCATCTCGCACGGCCACGTGTGCTCGACGACTGGCAAGTACCCTTATAGGTTGTATAATTCAATAGATTCGAGCAGGTGTTCCATCGAGCGCATGAAGTTCATGTTACTAGTAAAGTAAATCATGCCGTGAATAGAGAATTTGGCAGCCCAAAGCTATGTACCATGCTGACTGATATTCACACATCAAGTGTGTCATTTAGCTGTTTCTGCATCCAGGATAGTCTGAGCTAAACTTTGTTTTCAAACAATGAACAACGCAGCGTGCGATGATTCGGGTTGTGCAAGCAAAAATTTGTTGGCCCTGAACGGGTGAGCGTGCCGTGATCACCGACTGTAGTGTAACAAAGAAGTCATGTCCACATCGACCGATGTGCGCTTTCGGTGGCACGAGAAGGCTTGCATTTGACAGCTGTAGGGAGCCTTTGCTGGGTCCTGCAGACTGCACTCTGTTACCTGCGACAAGCGGTGTCAGGGACGAATGGGACCAGGGGTCTGAAAGGACAACTTGAGTCTCGTTTTCGTCGCTTGCATGAGGAACGAGTGGAAGAAGCGTGACAGCATTCCAGTTGCAAACATCAGGAGATATGAAAAATGTACCAGACCCCTCTCCTCAGAGCTGCTGAGACAAGCCAACATATTGACAGCTGGCTCTCATACCAAGAATGTCCAGAAGCTGGGATACACAAACTCGTCATCAAAGATGCGACGCACCTGTTCGAGGACGAATTTCTCCACCTTCCCCACATTCTTGAGAACTTGCTTTCCTCCCTCGCGTTGACCAATCTCACTTTCGACCTTGATCTCTTCCAAAAGAGCTCCCAATTTGCGTGAGACCTGTGGTGAATTGGCGCTGTGCTCTTCGTGCTCGCCTGTCAAGGATCCACCAACCAAGGATTCGGCGTCTTCCTGACAAAGGAAACAAAAATGAGCCTTTTTCTTGATATAGGCCAATATGCCAACACCATCGAAGGTAAGACCTGTAATGTTGAGCTGCAGAGGAATGCCTACAAAGCTTGGCATTGGATAGTCCAGCGATATCTCGGCAGTCAGTCTGAGCTTGACATCGCCGCAGTATGCCACGTGGAAGACCATCTGAACGTCCTCTGGGCTGCGCTCTTGCTCATCGCCAGCTCCATGGTGAGACGTGTCGGAGTCATGGCCACCGTGTTGCAACGACTCATCGGGCCAGTCCAAGTGTTTTGAGGTTGGACGCGAAGACGGTTTTGATGATGAAGGGGTCAGGGAACCGAAGGATGTCGAGCGATGCCGTGTCTCGCTGTCAGAGTAGTTACTCTCTGGTGACTGAGCCAATTGGGAAGGACCATGTCGCGCATTGTGGAATTGTGCGCCGGCCACAGCGGCCAATGGGGTCGTGGTACCTGAGAGGCCTGCCGATAGTGGCAGGTGAAAATAGCCCAGATTCGACGTGCCTCCTAGAATACCTGGCGTGGCTGTCCTGGACAAAATTGGGTTCCCCATGTGTTCTCGAGAATTTGTCACTCGAGAGGTGTGGAATTCATCGCGGCTCAAGGATGCGTTGTGCGGATAGTGAGAACGCGACTCATCGACCCTAGGAGTGGCAACGCTGTGATGACTCTCGTCGACTTGGCCAGGTGTCTCGTCGTCCTCTTGACTATCATCGGCGTCGTTTTCGTAGAAGTCGGGCAATGGATCACAGACGTCTTTGAGCTCGATTGTCGGCGCGACACTGCCAAATTCGAAAGCGTGGCATTTGACAGAGCGTATCATACGTGGGAGGGCTATCTTCTGGAAGCGATCATGGATGAAGGCGCGGATACTCTCTGCCAGCGCTTCGCCATCAGAGCCCGTGGTGAGCGTCTCCCAATTGATGTCTATCGACATGTTTGCCGCAAGAACTGACAAGACGTCGGACCTGCTAAGCGCTGCGGTCGCAGGGCAAGTCGAGGCGCATTCTCGGCTGCCACAATCTTCTCCACTCTCCCGCCGGCGTAAAGCTTGAACCTCGCTCAAGATATCTCACCGACACTTTGACATGTTTGTCTCTCCTGTTGCTGCCGCCGCCGGACCGCGACTCGGCTATTTGCAATTGCTCACATCCAAGAGTCCTCGTTTGCAGCAATTTATCAAGCTCTGGGCCAAGAGGATAGATGCTTCTGTGCCCTGCAGCCACGTTTCACGGCCCCTAATGCTCTGGCATGACAGCGGAAAGCTGCCCAAGCGCCTGCGAGCCTGCAGCCATCTGCTGTATCCTGCAATGCTCACTCGGCCCGTACCGGCTCTTGACAGCCAGTCGCTGCTTTGTTTGTGACAACTCAAGAATCTTGACATGGGGAAGCGGTACGTATCAGATGCAGGTCGGTTTTTGATCATAGCAATTCAACAACGGCACGATCCATCATTTCACTTGCACTCCATCAAACACCCACGGCTCGTGAGATGCATGTCGAATGTTTGCCGCAAACAACATTTCTCTTTGTCTCGTTCCCGCACTAGGGCATTGTATGAGCAGGGACGACACTTTTGGAAGCATATTCGATATTTCTAGCACAACTCGTCCATCTCCAGTGCTCGCTGGATGCTTCGACCGCCCCATGTAACCATACGCCACGCTAAACCTGCCCTTTTTGCACTTGCCGAACGCCGAGGGATGATATCCATCAAATGAGTTTCAATGAAGCAGGAAAAAGGACCAAAAACAAGACAATGCCGCCTGAAGCCTTGTCAACAACTGATTCGTAGACCATTAAACATTTCCTTCAACGTGGACAATCGTCCTCTCATCGTCCTATATCGTAGTTGACCATGCAACCAAGACTAGGTTTCGTTAGCGATGATTAGCCCAGCTCGCTCAGAAGAGCCTCCTCACCCCGTCATCTTCGGCAATTTGAGCAGCGTTGGTCGTGGTTGATCTTTTTGTCTTGTGAATTGGGGCACTTTGCGACCCTTGACGCGGCGCATGGGGCCAGGTCGACTTGCTGATGACCGCATTTGAAGACGTGGACAATTTTGGTGCACATGGTTGTTGTCGGTTGGCTAGAGACGAAGTGTTCCGCGGGAGACGAAGGTGGTGTGGGCAAGGATGTTTTGTTACAGTCTGCGACAATCGCGGAGACCGGCCGAGCTCTGGAGAGGAGTATGACTCTGCTGAAAAATGGTCAGGTTTGCTGCAAAGCTGCTGTCGGCAATCATGTACTCACCGACCTGGCTAAAATACCACTTTCTGCCGCAGTTGACAAGGACAAAAGATGTTGGAGAGGGTGTACACACGATGAACATCTTTCGACTGGCGATGGCTCGCGCTGGGTCTTATAAAGGGCAAAGCAACCAGCCCGCCGGATAGTCTCACGAAATGCTAGCACTGTTTGCACCAGCTTTGCAACACATGGATAGCCGTTAGAAGACCCGCAGGCATGCGCTCCCTCCCGATGGCGATCAAAAGGCAAGGGTCCTCCCAGACTACGAGCGGGTACCCGCGAGCCGAAGGTCTTGACAGCCGACTACTGCACACAAGCGCGCCAACAAATTCATGTCCTGAGGGTTGACAGATGGTGCAACGGCTTCTGCTTTCCCTGCCACTCCTTTTTTGTGCTCTCGTTGTCTTCTGCTTGCCCTGTTGCCGTCGGAACCTTGTCCCGTGTGCTGTACGACGGCTTTATTTACCATCACGACTGGGCAGCATACCTGGCGGGCTATCCTTGCGCTTACGCATGCCGTGTCCGTCATCAAAGAGGGCGCCCCTCACTTTTTCGCTTGAAACAATCGAGCTCCTAGCGGCTCGCAATCCGGACCCAGCTATGATGAAAGCTGCTGTCGTCTGTCGCCCGTCATGCGACGTTCTGCAATCTGTCCGGCGTGCGAACGGCCCGGTGGGAGATTGTCTACGTGCTCCATGCCCCATTAAACAAGGCAGTGACCGAGGGCTGCAGAGCAGCTCGCCGAGCAGAAGCTCGTCTTCAGCAACGAGGGCTGCCCCGCTTCCCTTGCTTGGCTCTGTAGCGAGCAATTAAAACAAATTGGTAGGCTTCGTTTCACAGGCTCACAGCTCACATTCTTTCGTTTCTTAAAACGGAAGAATAACTGGACATGTCACGTTTGATTTTTGCGCAATCACTGCGACGGGATATACAACATCTTAGACAGGGAACGTGCATTGGGCAATCGTGAGTATGGTCGTCATCTTCATATCATCTTAGCGAGAGTCAACCATCTGTCCAAAGATATAGCAGACGGACTCTCGTCCGAGGGGGACATTGACTTGTACCTTTTTGAGTGCAGCCGAATGCTGTCACCGCAAACAAAGCGCCTGCGGCCTGCTTATCTCTCACTTGAACATCAACCTTAATCCTTGATCCCAAATAGCGAACTTCAACTGCATCTGCGCGACAACGCATCGCTAATCCGATCGTCCGCTCCTTGAATGTTTTGTTCGAGAACAACGCATGGCAGGATACCGCCCATGTCGGACTGCAATACAATTCGAGCGTTGGAGAAGATGTCTGCCATACAGCCATGACAACGAGATCATTGCGGATCAGTCAGCTGAATCACGAGCTCATGAACGGCCATTTTTTATCAAAGAAACCACAATATCCACCCGGGAGAAAACTGACAGGGTATTGACTCAGTATATCGTGTGTAATTCTGCCATCGCCAAACGGCACCCTATGCTGCCAAAGCACACTGCACCTACGACGTTGTCGGGACCATGGAAGTATGTAAGCGTGCTGTCTAGACAGGTGAGCGAGATTCCCTAATCGCAAACAAGATGGGGGATCTCATGCCCGTCAATATCTGTTTCTTGATATATAGAGTTTTCACAAACTCAGCATCACCGAGGCTGCCTGCACTTTGGATTCCAGACTTCTTACCTGAGTTGCCTAAGTAACAATTGCAGACGTGATGACAACCAGCCTAGCTTTGAAGACACAGCAGTCCACCAGCCTTCCACTTTCACTTCAGCATCGTACTCCAGGCATCCAGGCAAATTGCTCATGTTTGTCCCTGATGGGCAGGTCAACCTGGTGTTGAAAGGCACACATTCCTTGTTTGATAGCATTCCATCCAACACCAATGGAATGAAGACAATGACAACAGTCATAATAGCCCTTTCGGCCAGCCGATTGCAAAAAGCCCAGCATAGCAGCCGTCAATCTCAACAAAAGATAAGGATACTACCTTTTCTCATCATACTGACACAACTCTACGCACACAATCATCATGTCACACAGATCACAGATTAAGCCTCATAACTATTTGGGCGAGGAAGAGGAGGAGGAAGAAGAAGAAGAAGAGGAGGAGGAGGAGGAGGAAGAGATGGAAGGGCATAGAACCCACAACTACGAAATGCCTGCCGCTCAGCGCCACGTCCAGGCCAACAACTTCAAAAACGGAAGGGCTTCACCAGGAAAGAGCGTGTCCTTCCAAGACTACGCCACTCAGTACATGGTCAATGCCGATGGCGACGAGCAGATTGATGCCGATGCCGCCAATCAGCTACAGACAGAGGACCGCCAGGCAAGAGATGTAGGCAATCGCTTAACGCGGTCTAGAAGCCCTAGCAAGCGTAGCATATCTAGAGTTGATTTGCACAGAGCCTCTAAAGAGAACGTCAGTGGGACACAGAGAAACACATCAAGGGGCCCTGCACCTGCATCCGCATATTCCAGCGGACGCCCAGAAGATCAACTGGAGCCAACTTCCCGATATCCCGGATCCGCAGACCCAACTCCTCCAGAAAACCTCACACCACAAGAGAGGAAAGACAACGAGCTCGACGCAGTCGTCATGGCAACATTGGCAAAAATCCGCACTAGCATTGATTCCCTCTGCGACCGTTACTTCAGAAGAGACATCAGAAGGCCTTATCTCACGAAGATGCTTAAGGAAATGCTCAAGACTATTGAAAGGGGGAACGAGTGGGAGTTCATAAACTTCTGCAGGGCCATTTCCGAAGGCGGCGGTGATGCGAAGACATGGCAACAGGTCGTCGCAGACTCAACTTGTCGTCATGGTCTCAGTTATGGCATCATTCATAGGGTGCTGGTACAGCATGTCTTCAAGAGCCTGTTGTTTGGCGGGCCTCCAGAGCTGTCGGCAAGGCTGGAGCAAATGGAAAGACACCAAGAAAATGAGGACGGTGTGTCTCTTCAGAATACAACATGTTCTTGAACGAACGACTGACTGTGTGGTNNAGGATTCTTCAGAGAACAACAGCGAGCTGGGTACGTCGCATCTTATGAGCTGCAATACAGGGTGGATCTCAACCAGACCGACGAGCGAAAGTTTGCCAATCTTGACCTCGCCCTGAAGATTTCCAGATTACTGCAGCCGCTTTGGGACCTCGACCGTGAGAATACAGAAGAAGATTTCAGGCAGTTGCAGCAAAAGGTATTCATGATCGTCAAAATGGCAGCGGAACTCGCAACACTCATGAGGAAAAGCGGCGACTATGTCCTCTACCAGTTCGGACACGTCTTCAAGGACCAGGTGGCGGATCGTACGACGATGGAAGTGCTGAACTTTGGACAGATGGAGCAAGAGTACAAGGCGAGTAAAGGAGCCGATCAGGTCTTGATCAGGATGGTATGTGGTGACCCATTGTATGCGTTCAGGAAGGGGGGTGGTGTTCTGGCCGAGAGAATACTGGAGAAGGAGGAGAAGGAGCAGGACCTGAGTATCGCTCCAGAGCTGGGACACCTGCCACGGAACCACTATCGCGGTCGCCTCATCACAGCACATGACGGTTACAGGGCCAAGTTCTTGGCCAAGGCGCAGGTGATTGGGCGGGTCGAGGAGATAAGCAGCGAGAGCACGGCAACGGATCTGATGGAGGCGATCCGTCTTCTGAAAGACGAGGGATGTACGGCGCAGTAACGAGGGACGAGGATGTAGGCTGTGGCAAAGAGTGGTGATGGAGGTCTTTGTGGTTTGATGTTTTGGTAGTATCAGTCAATTGACGTTTCTTGTTGCACGTCGTTCTTGGTCGTGGACTTGTCGTCTGCGGGCGCTTCGTCCAGGAGCTGTCTCAGTGTCTTTGCAGTCGCCTCTCTCTCCTTTTCGTGACGCAGCGTTCTCCACGGCTTTCCCTCCTTCCTCAGAGTGAACTCGCTCAGGCCGGTCATGGGCACCTTCTTGGCCAGATCTTCTTGCACAAGGCTCCTGCCCGAGACCTTGTAGGAGCCATTGTAGACGGTTTGGTCGATCTGATCGCGGTGGTGGATGGTCGAGTAGTTGGCCTGGAGCTGGTAATGCCTCTGTCGTCCTTCTCCCGAGCCTTCGGCCGTCATGACAAAGCGCAGCGGCGATGCCTCGAGGAGCTTCCGCGCCGCGTCGTCCGTCTCGTAGATGGCAATCATCGTGTTGGCCAGAGGCATGGCGTCGTACTTGAAGTTGCGGAACATTTCGACTCGTCCATATTGCTGCACCAATCGGAGGATCTCACGGCTCTCGGCCAGCGTTTCTACACGAGGATACAGTCGCAGATGCACTGTGCGGTTGCGAATTGGCCTGATGAACCCCGAGAGCGCCATGTTCTGGTCGTGGGTTTTTGGTTTGCGATGCGCGTCCGACCATTGCGACGACCAAGAGACGGCCGACTTTGATCTTGGCAAAACGCACGACGCTGTCACTAGAGAGTCGAGAGCCGTTTCCTTCCACCTTTGCTTGCTCGCCTTTCTTCTCGCACCTGGGAACAATCTCGATAAGGAATGAAGCGGCAGTTGTCAGCTGCGCTAGAGTGACAAGTATCGTTCTCGGCTATTAAAATCGTCTAAATGGGTATCTTTGGCAGTTTGCGATCACCGCCGCGAAAAGGCAAAAGCTCCTCGATGCCTGTTACATCCTCCCAGTCCAGTCTAGTATCCTTTCGTAAGTCATTACCATGCGCCTCCGAAGGTCCAAAAATTCGACCAAACTCCAGTCCAACCATCAAACAACTCCAAACCCTCCACCATTCATGCCTGTCTGGAGAGACCGCGCGAACTGCGAGCCTTCTTCACACGAACGTTTTTCGACACACAGGCACCGGTAATAGAATCCACCGAACGTCGAAACGACAAGGAAGATGTGCCCGATCCGGCAGACGAAACTGAAGAAATCGATCCGGCGCGTCGATTCTCATCGAGACTGCTGTAGCCTTCATCGTCCGCAGGAGATGGGCATGCCTCGACACTGGAAGCCCGAGGTGGCGATATGGCGCATTGGTCTCCAGATTGGACCATCTTATCCACCATGTCTTGGATGTTACGAAGGTGAGACGGGTCGCAGAGCATTCTTACTCCATGTTGTCTGTGGGCACGCCTCCTGGACGGAGATAGCGAACCCACGTAATCACCAGAACCCAAAGTCGAGTCTAGCTCGCGCTCGGCACTCGTTGGCCTTTGTTGAGAGTAGAAGAAGGGTTCCGAGGTGTAGCGCATTTCGCTAAATTGTTGCGAGAGTTGTGCGACCGAGATCTGTGATTCGCATGGAGACGAAGTACGAGGTACAGTCCAGTCAGGTCCGAACAAGCCGTCGCAAGAAAGTGGCAGCGATGAGGGATGACGAGATGCGGTCACTGTGTAGTTTTCGAACATGGTGAAGGTTTCAATCCAACAAGGTAGTGTCTCGTATGTAAAAAGCGTTTGTTGGATCACTTGTTGGTGTTGTGAGATGATAAGAATGATTGCAACAAAGGTCTGGCGGTTCGACAGAGGTGACGGGCATGGGACTATTATGTCAAAGAGCCGTGGGCTCAGCACGACGAGGCTTTGACGCCTCAAGGCCGAGATCATGAGTCGCCCACATCGTCCGTGGCATGCGCTAGAATTCCGGGAGACGTCGCGTCTAACGGATATGGTGGCTTGTGCTGGCACCCCCGAACCACCTTTTATTTACGCCGAGTGCGACGAAATTGTGCAGTCTTCAGGCCATGGCGCCAATCAAAGCACCACGCAAGGGGCTATTTGTTTTATTGTTTGACAGTCTGCGCCTGCGTCAGGGCCATCTCCTGCTGCATGTTTGATGATTCTGCATGACACCGGCTGCTGGCCCTGCGCCCCTGGACTGTGATTTGCTGTGGAGGATTAAAGTCCCACTCTCGGCGATGAGCGTGCCTTCCAGAAAACCGTAACCAAGCGATCGACAATGCAAGACATCGCTTTGACTCGACGATTTACGTCCGTAAACACGTGCGACAGACCGTTCAGACTGTAGATGAACCTACGCAAGGCTCACAGGACGAAAATGGCAGCCGGTGAGTATTGAATTGATAGTCGTTTCCCCTACCAGATTTGCTCTGCTTCTCTCCAACGCCGTCCTTGCAACAGATCATTTGATCGAGACACCTCCGTGTTGAACGGGTCATGGCTGTCGCGCGAGAAGGTGGGTGGCTGCGATCTGCACAATTTGCATGCGATACACGTGCTGATGCGTGTCCGAATTTATCCGTTCTCTGCGGTACAAGCGTGAACCTGGTTCTCTTGAAAGTGTCCCAACGGTCAAACTTTGCCACTCTATATGGCGTATTGGGGTCTAGATCCTCAAGACTCTGCACTCGAACAAATCGGGCAGTGAAGGTTCTGTTTTCCAGGTTTCTGGATCAAAGCCCACTCAAAGTTTGGCTCACAAATTGCAAAGTTCACAAGAGATCCGATTACCGGTGACACCTGGACGCGACCCGAGACATGAGCACCAGCAAGTAGGTATTTAGGTATGCGTCTGATGCTTAGTAGGGTAGAATTGACTAAGGGGGCGGCAAGCCACTATCTGTGGTGATGAAAGAAGCTGGGTTTATTGCTGAGTGGTGGGTGGGCGGGCTATTGAGCAGTAGCAGTGTCTAGAGCTTCTAAGTGCAAATGTAAAGACAATAAATCATATCCCCCACACCCGTTGGTGCTGCAAAAGACGATATAAATCCGTGCGATGGATGGGCAACTGCAAAAGGCTGGATCAAGCATGTGGTGCAAGCATTCGTCGATGTTGGTGATAGATATGATAAGCAGGTGCGATGGAAGGCGGCCAGATTCGTGCCGAGCCTGGCCGGGGGAGTAACGGCAATCAAGATCGTGGACAGTGTGGTATCAAGACCCAAAAGCGTGGAGAGAATCCATCGCCCATCTGAGGATTGTGATCAGTCAACAGGTGCGATGAACAGTGATGAGGAAACGCACGAACAGGCCAAGTGATGTAAACGCAGGTGAGAAAAGCGTCAGGAGGAAGCATTGTCGGGCAAGGATCAGGAACGATCGTAGGTCTGATTGATTCTGGCACGCTCTTCGCGATACATCTGCTCAAAGTCGCCGTCACTGACGTTCAGTTTTGCAGCCATGTCCCGGAGGGCATCCTTCTTGGCGAGCTGAGCTCTCATGTAGGTGACGGTGGCCGAGAGCATGACGGCCTCACTGCGACCCTGGCCTGACATGCCGGGGACGATCTCAGCAAGACGATCGAAGCCTTCACGTATTGCTTGACGGCGTTTCTGTTCGGAAGCAATGTGGTTGTTCTTCTTCTCTTGTTCAGTCAGACGAGGCTTGTCGGCAAAGTTGGCGCCGGCATTGGTGTTAGCCATGGTAGCGGGAGATGAGGGGTTAGATCGTGGAGGAGATGTTAGAGAAAAAGCGTCAAGGCAGGAGGGTGAACAGAGTGATGTGAAGTTGAGAGTGGTGGTCAGGATAAAGAATGGGAAAGAGGTGACATGAAGGACGACGGATCACACAGCAGCACGGATAATCAGAGGCAAGTGACGATTGCTGGAGGAAAGGGCACTCTTTCTTCAGAGTATCACGGGCAGGTGCGTTGTAGCAAGTGAATATAGAAATCAAGGGACTGGTATGTGGCTGGCGACAGATGGAGAAGGAGCTCTGGACAGAAAGTGGAGAGCAGCGTGTCAGCAGGAAGGCATGGCATCAGTGCCGACTCTGCAACGGAAGCCATCGACTCGTCTGCCATGAGAGAACGAAGAGCCGTTTTTGACGGACGGAAACAGGACATGGCTTCAGGATCAGTGTTCAAGCAAGAGGTCTGGCTCTGACAAGGAAGCATTTGATTTTGAAATGTATAGTTGGCGCTGTAACAGTCCCGGCGGTCGCAGAGTGGCAGCCAAGAAAAAGCTGAAACGCGGCGAGCGCTGCGGGCGATCGTCTAGCGGGACAGGGAATGGCCAATTAAGTATGACGCGTGAGACGGTGTGGATACCGATGCCTGCTGCTCCAAGTACCCGAGCTGCTGTGGTCAGAAAGGGCCTGGTAAAGGAGAGGGATAGAGAGCAAGCACGCATCCACCAAAGCACATCCCACATCCCACATCCCACATCCCACAGTCCACCGAGCTCGTACTCGCAGCGGCGCCTTCGTATCAGGCGAGCAGAAGCAGCTGAAACACCGACTCGCACGGCACCAAGATTGCGGCCAACATTGCCAGCATCAGGGTCAAGAGTCAAGACCGACCGACGCCAACAAATGTCGGCCTAGACGAGTCGCTCTCGCCATCCCCCTCTCGTTGCACAGCCGCTGGACGACCGACCAACAATGTCGCCGGCGTCGGCTCGCGCCTCTGTTACGGGCCACCGCGTGCAGAGCCTACAGCCTGCCCGGAGGCTGGTCGACGAGCACGATGCCTACTCTTTCGCCCTCCGCGTCGCCTACCTCTCGCACCTCCTGCAGCCCAAGGCTCGTCGCATCCAACATGTCGCTCAGCCCGTCAAGCCCGTCTCGCGCTCGTCCACGTCCATCACAGACCTGGTCAAGGATTTCTCCTCGATCCGCGACTCCAAGAGCACCCGCCTTCCACATGGCTTCACTGGCGAGCTGGACAAGCGCATAACCGGTGTGCTGGTCGGCAGAGAGCGCATGCCCGAGTTCAACGACCCCCTGGTCAAGCGTACCTTTGCCACCTTT